ATATCTTCTAGTTACTCTGATTTTGGTGCTTCTACCCATAATCCTATTCTTGATGCTACATACTGGAGTTAGGAAGTCAGATAATTATCTAAAGTTTTTTCTCCTTTTCCTTTTTTAAAATACTTATACAGAATATTTATACACAGTATGTGGCTCATACTGGCTGCTCAGTATTTGATCCCTTTTTAAAAAGCCTTTTGAAATTGATATTAGACAAGTGATCCTTTTAGAATAATATAGTAAATGAATTACCAAGGACCATTGGGTAGGAAATATTTGAAATGATCATTAAAAATGTATTTACCAGAATTTATAAAGCTTTCTATTATGTCTGCTCTGCAGTATGATTTGAGAAGTATAACTTCATTATCACATAGGTATATGCCTTTCTCTATCTAGTTCAAGTTCTTTGTCTAGTCTTAGTATTTAACAGTAAAAAATTATTACTTTGAAGCATCTTGGTCCATAGTTCTTTAGGCCATTCTGATGTTTTAGTCACTAAATAGTATTGCAAGAGATATATGGCCTCTTTGGGTTTCAGTTTTTTCATCTGTAAAATAAAATTGAATTAGAGTGTTGTCTTCAGATGTCTTTCAATTCTAAGTATAAATTACTGCTTTAGTAGTTTGTGGCATGCTACCATCTCAGTATATGATGGCCTCAGAAGAAGGCCTTCTGAGATACAGATATAATTTTATATGAGTCCTTCCCTACATTGTGGAATCTTCTACAATCTACTTATTCTCTCATTTTAAAAAGAGCTTATTTGCTTTCTGCTTGAGTTTTTCTGTTGTTTGGGATTTTTTTGTTCAACCCATGAATGATGTTTCCTCTTCATTCTTTCTTCTTTTTAGTTCCTTGTTTGCTGTAGAGAACAGCATGCCTCATCTATCAAGCCCTGCCAGTGTGGCTCAGTAGTTGAACATCAACTCATGAACCTGGTTCAATTCCCCATCAGGGCACAAGCCCAGGTTGCTGGCTCAATCCCAGTAGGGGGCATGCCAGAGGCAGCTGATCAATGTTGTTTCTCTCATTAACATTTCTCTCTCTCCCTCCCTCCACCTTCGTCTTTCTCTCCAATCAATAAAAGGCATACACTTTAAAAAGCCCTATTGAGTCCTAACTGGTTTGGTTCAGTGGATGGAGTGTCGGCCTGTGGACTGAAGGGTTCCAGGTTGGATTCCAGTCAAGGGCATGTACCTTGGTTTCGGGCACATTGCCCAGTGCGGGGTGTGCAGGAGGCAACTGATCGATGTTTCTCTCTCATCAGTGTTTCTAACTCTCAATCCCTCTCCCTTCCACTCTGTAAAAAATCAATAAAATATATATATTTTTAAAAAGCCCTATTGACACTAATGACACGAATGACCTTGCCCGTATTATGTATTATTTGTAGGCCCAGTGTGGTCTAAAGCATTCTTAAGTTCCTGACCTTTAGATGAACTTATGAATAACATAGAATGTCTTCTTCAGAAACTATAGAACCACAGTGGTTTAAAATCTGTGATTTTTTACTATCTAGTGTTAATCCTATCTAATAAAGAGGGAATATGCTAATTGACCATCACACCCCACAAAAATGGCAGTGCCAACAGCCAATAAGGAGGGAAGATGTTAACTGACTGTCACATCTCAAAGATGGCTGCACCCTCAGCCATAAGATGGCAGCACCCAGTCCCCTCGGTGCCCTTGCCTCCAGAGTTCCCCAGTTCCCTCAGTCCCCCAGCTGCCCAGGGCTGCCTAAGGCTCAGGTAACCAGGGCCGGCCGAGGCTTGCACTGCCGACAGTGGCAGCAGCAGAGGTTTGGTGGGGGCGTTGCCTTCTTGATTGCTGGGTCGCCTCCTGCCCGAGGGCTCGCAGACTGTGAGAGGGGGCCCCTCCAGTGCGTGAATTTTCGTGCACCGGGCCTCTAGTATTAGAATAACTGACACTTAGAGTAAAAGAAATGGGCATTTTGAAATTGAAATGAAGAGGTAACTATTTCTCCTCTAAGAAATAGTATATTTAAGTAGCAGTTGACTCAATTATATATTATGGTTTAATTTTAATAAAGTTGATATTTATAAAAATAGACCAGTTGATTACTATAAATATATATTTATGTGTGTACTCTGAATATATGTATGATTGTGTTTTTAAAACAGATATGACCATATTCTGAAGTGGGAACTCTTCCAGCTAGCTGACCTCGATACGTACCAGGGAATGCTAAAGTTGCTTTTCATGAAAGAACTGGAACAGATTGTCAAAATGTATGAAGCCTACAGACAGGCTCTTCTCACAGAGTTGGAAAACCGCAAGCAGAGGCAGCAGTGGTATGCCCAGCAACATGGCAAGAATTTTTAAGTAAACTTTAAAAAAATAAAAATAGAATTTAAGTTTTATAAGGGCTTTAAAATATTCTCACAGATAAAAGACTGCAAACAAGTACTTTGGTTAATAAAGGCAGCTTTTTAGAAATTATAAAATTCTAATTTTACATGTATTTTATTAAAAATGCTCTTATTGAGGAAAAAAATGTTTATCACCTAAAGGCCAACATGGCAAACTTCTTAATGCTGCATATTAGGAAACTGCTTTGAATATTCTGAGTGGAGTCAAATGCAGCCAAAAATGTCTTTATGAGATATTAAATAGGAAATGATCACTTGATAAATAAACTCTTACAGTAGCAGTACCTTTCTTTAAAAAACAGCGAGAGATAACCTATGCAGTATTTAAAAAAAGATGTTTCCTGCTTTAGTGTGGAACATTGTCTGGAATCGAATGCTTTAAATGTTACTATTGTGTATAGTTCAAAACATAAAATGGGATTTGTAACCTTTATTGCGATAAATTTTTATATATAATTTATGGTATCTCCCCCCCTCCCCATATGTAAAGAACATTTTAAATGTGATGAGAAAGTGTTCTTTTGGTATGAAAGAGTGAAGGGCCTTCACTCTGTAAGGAATAAATTTTGGCATAAGGTTTAAGCCTGTGTGGGAGAGCTGTGTGCAGCACTCAGAGTAGCTAGCATCACTTCCTTCCTTTGGCCAGGGCTTTTCAGCATTTAAGAGTATGGCTCTGATGAGACAGTGAGTGTTCCCTACAGCATAACATGCTCCGTCCTAACAAGCTGGACTGAGCTGCCAAAAATGACAATCAGGGATTCATTAAGAAATCTTGGTCAATAAATTGATTTTCTTTTATCTTTAAGATAAAGTTTCTTTGTCACAGAACTTTAAAACCCAGTATTCCCATTTTTTTTTTCCTTTTGAGTTAATAATTACAAAGGTATTGTTCATAATTTGTGTAGTACATTTGATTGCAGACAAATTTATGGCACTTTTAGCCTATAAATTTCTAGATTCCATTAATTTTAACATTAGTTGAAGTAGCTCTTCAGTTATATTTACATGTGTTGTAAATATGTAAATATGTTTTTTTTTAGGTAATCTTCCAAAATACAAAGCACTCCCAGTTACATAGTATGAGTTTAATTTGTTGATAAAATGTTGGAAATATTAAATGTTTGATTTTATACAAGCAGCTTATTAAATATATTTTTGTGGAAACTAAATGTTTGAGTCTATATTTTATACATAGTGCTTAAATATTCAATTTTTCCATTCATAAGACCCATCATCAAAGAAAACAGTACATTGAAAGGATATTGAAAAATGAAAATAAGCTAGTGGAATTTTATCACTGAGAAAGTTACTTTGCAGGCCATGTGATCAAACTTTTCACACACTCTTCTATCTTAATTATTCTTTACTGTTGCTCCTTACTTTATTTCAAAGAAAGTTAGAAATTACTGTTCTAGTGCTCCCAGATAAGAGGCATTGCTTTTCTTTTTTTCATTACCACACTTCTTTTCTTTTTAAAGGGTGTATGCTCAATGAAATTCCACTATAGATTTTAGTAATTTGAAATACACTATAGAATCACAGTTTTAAAAGTACTGGAAGGTACCTATTTCTTAAAATGGAAACCTAAATTCATAATGTGGTCAACATGAAAGAAAATGCATTCTGCCGAAACCGGTTTGGCTCAGTGGATAGAGCGTCGGCCTGCGGACTCAAGGGTTCGATTCCGGTCAAGGGCATGTACCTTGGTTGCGGGCACATCCCCAGTAGGGGCTGTGCAGGAGGCAGCTGGTCAATGTTTCTCTCTCATCTATGTTTCTGACTCTAACCCTCTCTCTTCCTCAATAAAATATATTTTTAAAAAATGCGTTCTGAATTTTCAAAAGAAAGATAAACCATCATTCTTTTATCAATACTCCCAAATATTTCCAAATTCAGTAAGCATTTGTTTTTAATTTTAGAACCAAAGTAAACTTTAATCATAGTTGACATAATAAAAGAATAAACTTATGATGAATACATTTCTTTGTGTAGCAAATGAAAAAATATATAATGCAGAAACTTAAATACATACAAAGTGATCTATTGTGCATTTTTTATCAAGAGGTTTATATTCTATATTAAATCAATATAAAAAGCAATACATAGTTTTTGATAAAGCAACTGAAAAGATCTCTTAAATGTCTTAAAAATAAGCTTATGGTATATGTAAGATGATATAGACTGAGTCAAGCCTTTGGGGTTGTGATGCTGTGCTTTAACATATGACTATGAAATAATTTCAAAATTCTTCTGTAAAAACTAAATGAGCATATCCAAACAGGGAGTAATATTTTACCACATGGTTTAATTATAACCCTGTAGTAGAATTTAGTAAATTCAAGCAGAACATAAGTACTGTCATCATAAATAGATAACTTTAAAGAATAACAGTATATTTGAAGATAAAATCAGAAAACTGTACACGTTAACGAAATAATAACCATGCATACATACATCTGCTATTAAACACTGAAATAAAAGAACAAAACCATTTTTGCAGTCTTCAGAGGTGTTAGGTATTTTACTCTTTCTGATGGAAGCACTGAATGTTTACATGGAGACATGTAACTGAAATTGGTCATGCACCTGTATTTTTTAACATTTGGATTAAGTTTTCTTCTTTTCTGATTGTTCAGGAGATTCTGACTTTGGTGCAGGAAAAGCCTGATGATACAGATGTCTGTGGGTTGCTGCTGCGCTGTAAAGCTTGTATAAAGCCTAAAAAGACAAGAATACAGATTTTAAAACACAGATGTAAACATTTTTCTTTTTAGTGTAATTAGTTTATGGTACTATATAAAAGTCAGCTTGCTAAATTTGGAATCTATATCATTAATCTCTATAGAATATAAATTAATAACATATCTTAGAACCCAAAAGTATTTTCACCTCTACAGTGTACATTACTGCTTTTGTGGGATGACCTTCATGGTAAATGTTTTGTTCTCAGACTGCATTTCCTTTTATCTGCACACCTTGTGGAGCTCAGCTTCCTAACCACTCACTATCCCAGGGGCTTGTTGAGAACTTGTCAGTGTTAGAGGAATAACAGGAGGTCATAACTTCTGACTGTCAAGGGCTACTGTATGTACATAGCTAGACCCTTTGTTCTCAGGGCTTCCTTATAGTTTTTCAGAATGGGACACCCTTTAGTCTCCATTACTTCCTCATACAGGCATGCAAATAAGCAAACATGTTGCCCCCTCCCTCTGCCACACTGGGGTCCACTCAAATGTTTTCTTGCCTTATTTCTGTTAATTAGTTCATATTTTACAAACCATTATTCAGAAACTACCTCAAAAGCTTTTCATCATTAAAACTACCTCTAAATAGTTCTTTGTGTCTTTGGAACAGTGCTTGAATCAGGAATTTTTACATATTGCTTTATGTAAGTTTTAAAATATTTTAATGTTCTCTCTCCGCTCCCCACCTAATGTCTAAGATAAATTCTCTCTTCTGACTTTCACATTATGACCACTCGGCTAAGACTAACTTATTTTATGTAATTCTGGAGTCTGTAAACAAGTCTGAATATTTTAAAAAACTGAATAAAAGTTTGCTATTCTTTAAATAGTAATTGATTCCCAGGAAATACCATTAATTTTTATCTTTTATATCTATATGGTTATTTTCATAGTCTAATGGTACCACCCATCATCAGTTCTATGAATGCATATTGGTGCAATATGGTATTGTCCTAGTTTTGTTATATTCTGATTCTAACACATTCAGTTTAATCCTTGTTCTTTTAAGCTTAGATTTTTTTCCTTAGGTTTTGCTTTGTGAAGTTGAAATTTGTTTTTACTTTAGTGAATTTATTTTATTGAATTTTATATAAAATAATTCTTTATTGACTTGTAAATATTAAGTTTATCATTGTTATTTGATTACAGGACATAAACCAATCACATGTAACAGCAGAAACTGAGTAAAGAATTATGCATTGTCTCTGCAGTTCAGGATGTTTTTGCTTCCTGAACACAATGACCTAACTGACTTCAGAGATAAGTTTTCTTACATAACAAATGATTCCTTCCTGAAAGCTTAGATTCTTCCCTTAGACACAAAGGTATCTAAGGGAAGAATCAATGTGCTTCATCCTAGCACATCGGAGAGTGATAGAATGAAAGGGTGGTGGGAAAAATGAACACCAATTTACAAGTCATGTCTGAGGTATGCCAAGAAAGGTATGCTGCATTTTTGGCCTGGAACCTGCTTAAAGTTATATTATAGGTAACTGTCACGCAAAAGCCAAAGTTAAATAAGTGCTGTCCAGTAATTAAAGTTTCCTCAAGATTCATAACTGTACATGTTTCATTCTTCAGAAGAGAAAAATGCAGTGTTGGAGCATAGGAATTTTGAAATCTACATATTTAGGAAACAGATAAAATGTTCCCAATATTCATGTGTTTATGTTTCCTATGCATTTCAAATCACATGTCTGGAATAAAGTAAATATTGTTTTAAAACCATGTTAAAAATTCACAATTAAAATTATAAATGCAAGGCGAACATCGGAGCAGTAGTTATCAAAGATTTTCTAATCTACATTTAGTCATCCTTTAATGGATAATTGGTTTATAAAAAAAGTCAATGTTTTCAAATATAAGCTCTTAGAAAAATTTAACTTACCTCATTTGTACTTCCCTGTAGCAAAGGCAGTTTAAAAGGGAGAAAAGAAAAGTATATATTCTGTTTCATTAATAGCATTACAGTATTCAGCATTGTTCACTTTATTAATTTGTGAGCATTTAAGAACAATTATAGGCTCTAACTGGTTTTGCTTAGTGGTTAGAGCATTGGCCTGCGAACTAAAGGTCTCTGGTTCAATTCCTGTCAAGGGCACATGCCTGGGTTATGGGCTCAATCCCCCATAGGGGGAATGCAGGAGGCAGCCAATTGATGGTTATCTCTCCTTTTCTTTCTGAAATAATAAAATATTTTTAAAAAAGAACAAATACTGCAAATTTTTTGTTTGTATTAACATATTTACATAAATGTTTTGAAAAACCCAATTTGATATCCCTTATAGGTTTTATAGCATCATATTCTAGGAGGGCATTGTTTTTTTTTCCTCAAATAACCCCTCTTCTATCTTTTGAGGTTGAGGAGCTATTTGAGACAGTGGCTCAGAGGATCCAGTTAATTTTTTTTTTTTTTGTAATTCTCACCTGAGAATATGTTTTTATTGATTTTTAGAAAGAAAGAGAAACATTGATGTAAGAGCTAATCATTGATCAGTTGCCTCCTACACACTCCCTGTCCAGGGATCAAACCTGCAAATCTTTTTGTGTACGGACAATGCTCCAACCAAGTGAGCCGCCTGGCCAGGGCTTTATTCCTTCTTTTCCCATAGTGCTACCATTAGTTCATCTCAACTAGATTTTTCAAAGCCACGTGGTAAATCCATTAAAATTGTACGTGTAAGTATACTCTTCATTCTGGGAGAAGAGTACACTTACACAGACCATAAATGTTCAAAAGTTTTAATTCCAAAATTTTCTGGAGAATCTCAACTTTAGCTTCACTAAATTCCCCTAAATTTTCATGAGGTAACTAACGAATACTTCCAGAATGACAAAGAGTTGATTATTGTTCTAGGTGTATATATAATGATTTCTCCTGTCCATAATTATCTAAACAATGGACCATGGTGAGCCTGACTCCCTAGGTTATGGTTAATTGGACTATAAAGAACAACTAACTGACCCATGAGCAGCTGATCAAGAGGTTGACCTGGACTCATGCTAGGGCCTGGTGCTAATGTCTAGTTCAAATAAAGATAATCTGAAGTAATCAGATATTGCTTTTATGAGTTGATACTAAAAGAAGACAGTGATACACAATTAATTTAGTTATTTGTATATAATCCTAACAAAGCCAATGCTTGTCAAATAATAAAATAGGTCATAAGTATGAAGTAAGGCTAACATACAGAGTCACAAGCAGCTAAATAAAAACAACTGTTTTCTTATACTTCAACACCTTTTTCTTTTAGGATAAAAAAATAAAATCACTGTCTAATCCATGTATTTTTTAAAAATATTGAATTGTTAACTGGAAAACAGTTGTTGGGACTTCACACATTATACAGTTAGTTGGTTGTATCTGGCCATCTTTACATATTCTAAAATTCATGAAAACTGGGCCCCTAGGTCATGTTCATCTGTATAATTCCAACATCATAACATAATGCCCTGTATATAATATAGACAATCAAATGTGTGCTGAATGTAGTTGAAGAGAAGTAAAGTGTTCCTACCTGGTCCCACAAGGCTGCAGCCACCTGGTCTATGACAGCTCCCAGCTCTCGGTATTCTCCAGAGTACCGGATGTACGCCCAGGTGCACAGGGTGATAAGGGTCAGTCCCATTATCATATTGCATAGGCTAGCTATGATGTCCAAACCAATGAACCCAGTCACACCAGCAATCACATATGTGATAAAAATGACAACGAACAGTGTGGCTGGAGTACGAGCTGCATGGAAGATATTTTTGCTATCATTGTGCTTGATATACTGCATATAAAGTTCATCTATTTCATTCTCCAACTGCTGCAGGTAACGCCGGCTAAATTCCTCCCCACCCATCTTCTTCACCCCTCGGAATAGCTTCACAGACTCTTCCTTAAGCTCCAGATGTTTGGTCTGCAGGTCGTTAGGGGCCAGAAATGGTTTGTCACCACCACAAATCTGTATTAGATGCAGAAGTATTGTTTATGCAATGCAAATGCAACTAAACATTTCCACTTAAATTTGTTAGAACATAATAATAACCAAGAAGTCTGCATATGTTTTATCAACCCACATATCCACAGTTAATAACTATCAGGTGTGATTATAAGTGGGCCTGTTGCTCTATAGGTTACTTATATAAAGTCATACTTAATTTTTTTTTTTTGACATGGGAAAGAATATCCATAACTTAATCCAAGATGAAAAGGCATGACACAAAGTGAACTGCAAAGTGAGTTCATGTACAGAATGAATCTAAATTCAAGAAAACTAATCCCTTCAGGAAATTTTTTCTAAGTACACGAAACAATTTTGACAAATGAAGTTTAATTTAAAATAATGAGCAATGCTATAAAGCTCTAAAGTAAAATCATTAAAAGCTGTATATTGCAATTTCACTGTTTTTTGTTTCAATGGAGCCCAGTCAGTATTTTCTTCAAGAGACTAGATGGAAATATATTAAATATTCTTGGATCACATTTTCTGTTTTTTTCAGAAGTTACAAGGGAAATCTGTTATTTTTACCATTCACTTTGGTTATTTGAGATTTAACTATATAAAGGTACTCTCGTTCTAATTACCCGTTACTTATATCATAAACACCATTTCATATACTATATTTCTCTTGACTCCAATTTTGAATGTAATTTTAATTTTACAACATTTTCAGGGGGGAAAAAGACCCATTACATTAGTAGATACGCAATAATTTTTATGTCTATCCTCATTGAAACTGTTAAAACAAAAAAGGAAATATGGTATGTAGAAATATTAGCCCTTAAAGTTTAATTTCTTTTTTCCTAGCATGTTTTTGTAGCTAAGATAGAAATTCTGGAACTGTGGAAAGAAGGGAGGTGAAGTGGAGAGGGTAGCATGTTATTTTAGCCACTAAATCTTATAAGTTGGTGGGAAGATGTGACAAAAATAAAAATTATCCATTAAATATAGAAGTAACATTTAAAATATGTTGAAAATTGTGCATACCTAGTGTTCTTTTCTTGGTTTCTTTTAAAATATTTTAGGAATACAAAAAAAATGTAATACACATAGGCAGGAAAAGAATAAGTCAAAGCTGCCTCTTTATATGTTTATACAGTATAATGTGGAAGAAAAAGGAATGAAATCAGTATTTCATGGAAAAAATACTAATTTTGATTAAAATATAATTTAATTCTTACCTCTTCCATTTTTTTGTTGTATGTATCCTTGGCATTTGCTACTGCTGCTAAATTGTTAGCTTCTGCTGTGGCCTTTGGATAAAGTACAAAATGTTATGTAAAATGGGATTCATATTAATTTCCACAGACAGTTCTCATTTATAAGCATCATAAGCAAAAAATGTTTTCAAGAACCCAAGATCATCAAATAATTTTAAATCATTGAAATATTTCTACTATATATTTTTTAAAATTAGTAAAACTAATATATGTTTACTCAATAAAGCATAGTTCTGCACAGCCAGTGTGGCTCTGGTTGAGAGTTGACCTGTGGACTAGGAGGTCATTTCGATTCCTGGTTGGGGCATGTTGCCCAGGTTGTGGGCTCAATCCCCACAATGGGGCATGCAGGAGGCGGCTGGTCAATGGTTCTCTATCACTGATGTTTCCTTTTCTCTCTCCCTCTCCCTTCCTCTCTGAAATCAATAAAAAAATATAGTAGCCAAAACCGGTTTGGCTCAGTGGTAGAGCTTCGGTCTGCGGACTGAAAGGTCCCAGGTTCGATTCCCGTCCAAGGGCATGTACGTTGGTTGCGGGCACATCCCCGGTAGGGGGTGTGCAAGAGGCAGCTGGCCGATGTTTCTCTCTCATCGACATTTCTAGCTTTCTAGCTCTCTCCCTTCCTCTCTGTAAAAAACCAATAAAATATATTAAATATATATATATATATATATATATATATATATATATATATATATATGGTGAATAAATAAACCATAGTTCTAAAATGAATTTTCACTTGGAAGATTTTTTCCCCCTCAACATTTTTAAGCCTCTCACCAGATTGAGGGTTGGGGAAAATCTATAAACCCAAAAACATGGAAATAATATATAGTAATATATATATATAATGTCAAATTTAAGGACTGCTATACTGATAGAACAGTGTATCTGATAACAAAAAGGAACTATCAAGAACTTAAAAAAAATTCTTAAGTAAGGAAAAGGCCAGTTTCACCACTTGTTTAAAACCTGCTTTTCTACTTCTTGTTACATGTGTGAGTCTGTTTTCTAAACAAATGTAGTACAAAGAGAATGAAAACTCTTTGGTATAAAGTGTTTGTATCTCAGCACAAGTGAGGGTGCTGTATGTTTATGTGAAAATGTTTAGCTGAACACACAAATAGGCAGTTATTAGAAAAATAATCTAATAAATCATTCTGTCTACTATTTTAATTTGATAATTTCTGACAATCAGATTGAGGCACATCTTTTGCATAGTATGGTATAAAGCTAAGGAAATCTTAGCTGTAACAAAATGTTTTAAAGTGTCATGCCTCATGATGAATAAATACCTGTAACATGGATTTGGGATGTGGTAATTCTTCACCTTGATAAATCTTTATATAAGCCTAAAAAGAAAAAAAGAAAGACTCATGTTCAAGTAATTCTATTCAATATTTCTATAATTCTGTTAGATTGTATTCCAAGGTCTAAAGTCTTGACAGTACCAAAAAAATAAGGTCTTGGCAGTTTCAGGAACTAATCTTTTTCTCAAACTTTAATTCCCTCTTAGTTTTTGTTCCCCTTTCCTGAAAGGCCCTTTTCACGCATCTCCACTTGCCAGCCCTACTCCTCTTGAAGGCTTAGCTCACTTCTACCTCCTCTAAACACTCTCAGATCCCTCTGCTGAGAGTCACCTTTCTTTTTTCAGTTTGATGTCATAACTGGAATCTGTACCTGCTGATGTCATAAACTTCATGGAACAGAATTGTGTAAGTGTCCTGAATCTCCTACTAAATTCTAAGCTCCTCCACAGGGTTATGCAAAGAATTCAATTTTTAGATAAATAACATATCCTTTATTGCTCAGAGTGATGGTCAGTAACCTCACAGGAGGCATATGAGTGCATTTTAAATGACAGAACGTTGATTTTAAAAATTGATAATTTAGTCCTTAGATCACCAATACACAAATTAGACTGGTAACTGAAATTCTTCACTATATTTGTGGGTTGGTTAAAAAAAAAAAAAAAAGGCATTGTACTCAGTGCTACCTGAGGTAAATAGGTAAATGCAAATTTAAAATAATTCTACTTCAAATTGGTCCTTGGTGCATAGTGTGAAATGTGGAAGCATGTTCTCCAGTAGGAAGGCAAGGGGTAGCCCCTTTGAGAAAATCTTCAGAATGAAGGTGAAATTCAGTATAGATCATGGCTGAGGACTATGTAGTTTGGACCCTGGGAAACCTCCCTCCCCCCAAAAAAAGATATTTCCAATTCTTAGATACATTCATATTTCAAAATATATTTCCCTCTAGAGAAAAGGGGACAGGAAAGTAGTTCCTTTAAAAATTCCTCTTGGGAATCTCGTAATTTTTCATCATTTGTATTGGATTCCTCATACTTTTGCCCCCATATTACAGTCTATAATTTTTGTTGTTGCCACTTCAAGTGGGAACTGCATTCCAAACATGTCAAATCTAAGTACTCACAAATGTGCTGGAAATGAGAGCAGTACCTTGAAGTATTCCACCAGGCCTCGGCAGGTGATTTTGTTCCCATTGATCTCTTTAACATCTAGGCTCTCAGGACTAAGTAGCCAAGGAATGAGTATTTTCAAGTTTTTGATGAATTCATCATCTATTTCTACAAGTAAAAGCAAATTAATTATTTTTAAAATTCTATCTAGTTCTCCAGGCCATACAGTAACGCATCCTTTGATGTCCCCTGTTTCTCCCCCAGTGATAAAGCTATCACTTTCCTGTCATCCAAACAACTCCTGGAACCCACTTGTCTCAGGGTGGATGATCCACCTGGCCCAGACTTTCTACTGCCGGTCTTTCTTATCGCCACTTCATCACACATTTATATTGTCTCCCACCTAGAAAATAGCTTTCTTGATATTAAACACTATTCATATATTTTACACCCTATTTACATAAACATTTCATGTATTCTGTCTTTATTCTTTTTTGTAGTATTTTATATATAGGCTCATAAATGGGGAGAAATGTCAGATATTTACCAGCTGATAAAATGTATTCCCTCCAGAAGATATATTCAAAATTGTTCTGGGTTTAGTGTGCCCACCTTATGAAAAGTATATAGTGGGTACGGTGTAATTAGGAACTGAAATTCAAAAAGATAAGGATGATGATGCTACCTCTAGTGGTGAAACTCAGAATAACATGGCCAGAAAACATGGCAACCTAATTTAGCAAGATTAGAGGTAGTTGGAATTATTTATCGTACCATGAGGTTAATCTTAACGTTAGAGACTTATCAAAGTAACACAGCAAAAGGGTTTTTAAAGAAGTATTTTGAGCACTAATAATTCGTGAAACAAATTATTTCATTATTTCAAAACATATAGAAAAATACATATTATATATGTAAAAAACAAGGTATGTCCAGAGACTTGATATCTAAGTAAATGCAATAGCTACATATAATTTTTTAAAATCTGAATTTCACTGAGTTTTCAGACTTTGGAATTGATGATATCCAAGGTTTTAAGGCTAAAGATGAAAACCTTACAATTGTGTTTGCATTTTCTCTGTTTGTTTTTATAGCTTCAGTATACATTGCAATACCAGTTTACATAAGAATTCATATTTCTCTTCTCTTGCTCTCTGCTTTTATGACATACATGAGCAGATGGAAATACTTCAGACTTATTTTGCTTCACCTTTTGTACAGCTTTGAAATTACTGCTCATGCTTTATCACTATCTGTATAGGAGTTTATTTGAATTTATTTTGCACTGTACCAATTTTACTTAATATTTTGGTTTGTATTATATATATATATATTTAATCAAATGTATTTGTTATTGTGGTCTGCTATTTAATTATTAGTATTCACTGAAATACAATACCGGTATTTGTATTGTGTTACCAGATTCGTGGGTTGTGTTTTGTTGCCTGCTATGTATCTGTGTTCACTGATACTAATAGGTTTCTTTATTGCTATATGATTTCATGCTTTTTCTGCATCTGTAGAATATTACTATCTATACTAATAAAAACCTAGGTGGCCCTCGTGCCCTCATGTCATCACAAGATGGCCACCCCCACATTGTCACAAGATGGATGCCCCACATCATCACAAGATTTTCACCTGCACATCGTCACAAGATGGCTGCCACAAGATAGCCACAAAAAATGGCACCACAAGATAGCCGGCAAGGGAGGGCAATTGTGGGCAACCAGGCCGTCGGGGGAGGACAGTTGGGGGGAACCAGGCCATCAGGGGAGGGCAATTTGGGGCCATTGGGCTAGCAAGGGGAAGGCAGTTGGGGGACAATCAGGCCAGCAGGCAGAGTGATTAGGGACAATTAGGCAGACAGGCGAGTGGTTAAGAGCCAGCAGTCCTGGATTGTGAGAGGGATGTCCCAGATTGGAGAGGATGCAGGCTGGGCTGAGGGACATCCCTTCAGTACATGAATTTCGTGCAACAGGCCTCTAGTATATCTATTATGTATAAATTTTTCTGAATTTCTGTATAAGATTAAAAAAGGCCTTCTCTATATAAAAACCATTTTTAAATCACTTTCAAAACATGTACTTAGACTCTCCCCCCAATGTCCTTATAAAATTGGAATGGAATAAGATACACCTATACATCTAATTTATTAGCAAGTGTGGTAATCATCAAAATAATGAGCATATTTGGATTTAAAATGTGTTCTGAAGATGGCATTAGCCTTGGTCTACTGAGACCAATGCTAGGTATTTCAATTTTGGATTCATAATATATGAACATAATTTAGTTCTTGCTAACAGTATTAGTTGAACACTATATATATGTATATATAAAGAGCCAGTGTCCATAACATCCAAAATGACCAAAGACTTGATCAAATGCCAGGCTGCACGCACAGCATGCTGAGCGTGCTGAACTGCTGACCTCTTGGAAAGAGAGAGAGGCAGGGACTTGCAGCAGGGGCTTGTGTGAGGCTGCCTCATGGCACCCCACATCCTCCCTGACCGACCGCTGCCACTCCAAGCCAGTGAGGGCCACTCCAGGCTGTAGCCCCAGGTCCTCACTCCCACCCCAGGCCCTAGAGTGCGGCACTGGGCAGGGGCACCTGGGGGTCCAGGAATGTGGCACAAGGGGCTGGCCTGGTGTGGGGGCTGTGTTTACATTGCCAAGTTCCCCACTTCCATCCCGGCCCGCAATCCCTCCTCCCTCCTCTCAGCAGCCCTGTTCCTGCCTACATGCTTGCTGGGCAGGCCTGACTGCACCGGGGAGTGAGCCAGGGCAATCGGGACAGCCACCTCTTGGGACTGGATGGCCAGACGGTGACGATTCATGAAGGCGATGACACCCGTGGGGCACGCACTGCCCTTGAGCGGTGGGGGTGGGCGGCCAAGCCAAGTCTGGCTTCAGTGGGCCAACAGGAGCCCAAGGCCACCCCAGCCTCCACAGGTCCCAGGCTGGAAGGTGGCTCAGCAGCGAGTGGTGTGTCCATACACAACTGCGAGCTGCTGTGACCCAGCCCCACACTCAGGAAGGGGAGGAGGCTTGTGGCCACTGGCAACCTAGGCCACACCACCTGCACCGCCTGCTGGGCTGGCATGGTCCAGAGTGGGCACGCCGCTCCCACCCACAGCTGTAGAACAGGGAGGAGGGCACTGGGTGCAGGGAGGGGACCTCAGCCAGGATCCTGCTGGAGTGGGTAAGGGGCCTGGCCTGAGCCTGGTGGGGAGCTTAGGAAGTCTGGCTGAGCAGGCACCAACTCTTACTCTGCCATCTTCCTCCAGCTCTCCAAGCTAGACACCCCGCCCCACCTCACCCCACCTGCCCGGGGGAACCGGCTCTGGGTGACCTCCCCGAGTGCAGACTGTGGACCTGGAGACCTCGAGGAAGGGTGCCAGGCGGGGCCTGGGTGGGGGCCGGTGCGGAACTACCGGGCAGAGCTGCTTCGGTGTCTCAGTGAAGTTTGCAAGAGAACCAAGGAGGAAACCGAGAGGGGAGAGGCCGGGAGGTGTGAATTCCCAGCGCTTTAGCCACTTGGACACAGCCCCGCCTGGAATGTGAGGCGGCTGTAGGTTCAGCTGAGAAGTGAAGGGACTGAACCCCACCGTCACTAGGCTCCTGTAGGTCCGAGGCCTGAGCGTCCACCGCGACAAGAAAAAAACGGAGGGAGGGGCCTGGAAGAAGGGAGGACAATTGAAGGAAACCATGTCTAGACTTTCCCAGCCCTCTCTCTCTTTCTGCTGCCTACAAAAGCCCCAGGCCTGGCCACAGTTTGTCTCCACATTTTAGTCCCCTTTTCTCCAACCACAGAGGAAATAAGGAAGGAAGGAGTCTGTGCTATATACCTGATTGGAGTCCAGACTGGGGCTTAAGCCATCAGTAGGACATCCTGTGAGGGCTCCCAGACTGTGAGAGGGGGCAAGCTGGCCTGAGGGACACCTCCCCCTGCGTCCCCCCCACCCAATGCACAAATTTTCATGCACCAGGCCACTAGTAAGTACATAATTCAGAACATCTGCAGTCAGTTCAGATCAAATTACAGAAGTATACTAATCAGCTTTGGCTCGTTGAACTAATCAATGAATATGTGTGGGTAGATGATTATTCAAGATGGTGTTCTGTTTTCATCTTTTCTTCAATAATTTCTTCCACAAGAGTAAACCCTTGCTAGGAATTCAGGGACTAGGCCAGAGTGGTTATCTGTCACAATAAATGAGGACATGATGCACTGGTGTAGTGCTGCTGCATTAATTAACCAAGGTAGATATTTTCTCAGGATTACCTGACTCTGATAAATCATTAGAAACAACTTTTTAACAACAATCACCTTGCAATGGTGTTGGTTATGCTTTCTGAAGTCCTACCTGAGCTGCTAAGGATGCAGCTCCACAATATATGGTGTGGTTACCTGGTCATTCCACTTGGGGCACTATAACACAGAGCAACCTCCAAAAAAGGTAACTAAAAGATTGGATTTGCTATACGAGGAGAGGCATTCTGTAGGCACTTGGTGAGGAGTCGTTAAATATAGCATGAATGAATGTAATTCAGTGCTTTTGGTCCTTTTGATTTCCTATGTGGGAAGTTATTAAACTAACAGCAATTAAATTTAATCATAGTATTTTAAGTTTTAAATAAGACTGGAACTAGATAAATTTAATAATGTGAGGGACCATGAACAAATAGTTATTATAACAATTATTACAATTAATAATGAACTTGAAAGTTATTTCTGTGTGTGAAAAGTGTGCGAGAAACTATTATCAAAGAACAATTTTTGCACGTTTTTATATTCAGAGACATTTCTTCCCCAGAGGCAAACACTCAGATGCCAGCTCTGTGAAGAACAGCACATAAGACATCCTGGATAGAAATCACACCAAATTATAAGATTCAGGATGGGATAGAAAACCAATACATGGCCAATGAGAAACAGGCAAAATAGGACATTGCAGCACACAGCAGGATTCTGCAGCAGTTCTACAAACCTCATAACAATGGAATGTTCGATGGGAAACTGAAGCTGCCTTTCACTGCTCTCTCTCAGGCTAGCTACTTTGATAAACTCATATCTTACGGGTAACTGTAAACCAATTGTGTGGGTCAATACATGTTTAAATGTAAATCAGTTTGGAGGACAGATTTATTAAAAATCTTCATGATTTGTCTTAAATTCTCTCCTTGAAATCTTTCATTGCAAACCTATCAGTTAATTTAAAAACTGTAGCTGTATACCACAGAAACAGAGTACTTTTGTCCAATAAAAGACTATTGTGGAAGGCCTGTCCCTTCTCTGCCTGTTTACAGCTCCCAACTCCAGAGAAGAAAGAGAGGCCTTGTGGGAAGCCCTCTTTTTATGTAATTTATTCAAAATACAGGGAAGCCATTAAGTAATTGCATAGTATCAAGAGGTCAGTGTGTTCACTCATAGATTGGAATTCATAAGGGACAGTGAAATTGTAGGATCCTGAAATCCATGCACTAATAGCCTACTCTATTTGTTCTGTTATATAAAGGTAAAATTACTTAAAACATATATAAAATCAAAGCTGATGATTGAAAATTTTGGGCCCTATTTATGATATTAACTGGCATAGCTAAATATAAAGTATCTGAGAGTATACACTATGGATCGATTTGAGAGTTGGGGGGATAGGTTTGCTTTTCAAAACTGCCAGTTCTATGAGACTGGATATAACTTATGTTGTTTTTTATTAAAAAATAACTTGAGCCAAAACCGGTTTGGCTCAGTGGATAGAGCGTCGGTCTGCAGACTGAAAGGTCCCAGGTTCGATTCCGGTCAAGGGCATGTACCTTGGTTGCGGGCACATCCCCAGTAGGGGGTGTGCAGGAGGCAGCTGACCGATGTTTGTCTCTCATCGATGTTTCTAGCTCTCTATCCCTCTCCTTCCTCTCTATAAAAAAATCAATAAAATATATATTTTTTAAAGTAATTTGAAAGCCCTTTTCAGAACAACTGTGCTGAAAAATGTTCTGGCACAACGCAGAAAGGCCACCGTATATTAAGCAAATGTCTGAACTTTAGTGGTGTTCTCAATGCGAGGTTTACAAGTAAAAAAGTCAGAAATGTCTTTGTACTACCTGTATTAACTACAAAACAAACATCTAAAAGCCTGGTGATTATCTATTAGGAAAGATTAATTTCTTTTCCCCCATATCCTACCTCCACTCTCCTCTTTAACAAGTTCAGTTGCTTTGGAATCTTAAAATGTTAGACATGCCTCTGTTCAAGAGAGAATTACATACTATTAATACATACTATTTAAAAAACACTCTAGTGCTTTTGGTTTTTAAAACACTGTTCCTCATTCAGAAGAGAATCTCTTTTTTAGTGGAGCTTTTAATAATTTATAATTATTTAGTAGCAGCTTTAAAGGACTTGAATTCAGTACTATGAAATATTTCAATCTCTTATTATATAACTTAATGCAACATCCCAGGAACATAGACATATATTTTTCCCCTTTAATGTAAATAAGAAAAATTACACAGGGAGACATTAAGGAGCATTTCTCAATGCACAAAGGTGAGCAGGAACCTCTGCAGAAAGGGGAGGGCTGCGGCCTCCCCAGTGACCTCGGGGTGCAGCCTCTTTTCTCCGTGTGCACAGTCAGCGGCCACAGAATCCCGCTCTCGCACCAGCCCAGGAGTCACCATTCTGACAATTTCTAATCATCAGCCTCACGTCAGTGAATGAGCAAGCAGTCACAAGTCCAGCAGATAAATGACATTTTTATACCGGACGAATGATGTAAACATATTAATTAAAAGACAGACAAACCTTTCAGTTTTCCATCGAAGTTTGGATTGGTAGCTACTTTTAAGCCAGGATGAGGTAGCAGAAAACAGGAAATTTTGGTGAAACAGGAATGGATGTGTTTTCGAACATTCTGTAGTTCTTCATGCTGGTTCCCTGAGACCTGCAGCAGTAAATCATCCTGACGTTTAAACAACTTTCTGTGGCATCTTATATTTTCTATCTTAGCCCACACTTATAAAAAGACACGTCAGGGCTGATATTAAAGAACGAATAAAATCGTGGGTGAATCTGTCACACTGCCATACCTAAGTAACTGTATAGCATAAATATGGCGTTACTATTACAATTAACAAATGTCTATTCTTATGCCAACTCAGATGGGACTTCTCCCCGCCCTCCCCTTTTTTATAGTACAAATTTGTGGTGTTTTACTCTAGCTAGTTCCTACAAATTCCTATATTTATTCAAAGTACTCACAGAAGACATGAATAGATCATAAAATATTCCTCCCTTCTTTTCAGGAGATACTCAAAACAGCTTCTTGTCACCTGGTAGGTATACATTCAAATTCTAGAAAAGCATCTGAATAGATAGGTATTTATAATCTAAGTTGCACTTTTTGTACATGTATTTGACAGTTAATAGTACGAATTACCCTAAAAGTAATTATAAACCTAAAAAGGTAAGCTCATAAATTCCAATTTCTATTTTTAATTTTTTTTTTCCCAGACTTCTCAGTAGGTCTTTTTGTGTGCTATCTGTTCAAGGTAAGTCAGTCAATATTAAACTATCATGGCATAAAAAATGAAAAGTCTTCTAATTTTACTTTCTGTGAACTACTAGCAAAATGTTATAAGATTGGGGATTTCAAAATTAGATAATTTTTGTTAAATTGATTTTTAAACCTCTGCTAAAACATAAACCCAGATATTTGCACTGTTGGACTTGAACTAAATTAATTCTTCAAATTAAAAGCTTTGTGTGTGTGTGTGTGTTTTTTTTTTTTCAAATAAATCATTGTTTTATAGATACGTACAAAATAAATCTGTATCATAATTATTGAAAATATTTGAAAATTGTAATTCTGAAAGTATTTCATTAAGTATCTGTTTTAGTTTATTCATAGAGATACTATGCGGGCCAAATGAGATTTTGGCTACTAAGTATTCAGCAAATCATTCAACAAAAATAATTCTATATTACTAATGGTGAAATTTCATGCACCTAAATATCTAACAAACCTTGAGGCGTTTTTCCAGGAATTTGGAGCCACCATCAGATCCATATGAAAACTCGTATGGGAAACTCCAGTCTCGAACAAGAAATATCAGACTCTACGAAATAATTTGAAGAAAGAATTGATAAGGATATTCCAAGTTGCCTCCCACTGCTTTTTAATTGAAACTAATTAAAGAATACTATTCAAATATTCTTTACCACATTGTGGAATTAAAGCAAACATAAAATATTTGACAGTCTCTGAGCAGTCTCTCCTCTATTAGATCATTCTACCTATTTCCACTAAATGTAAACCAAAAGCTGCCCCAAAATTGATTAGTTACATAGTGCCAATTTGAGAGCCGATTTGAAGGCATCTCTGTCTCATTTCTTGGTGGGGTAGATTCAGCTTGGTGGTTTTCAAATAGCTTCTTATGAAGATTCAAGTTTTATTTGAGGAATGTTTTGTCTATTACTCTCTAGATATTTTTCCTCTGTTACATGTATTCCACTCTCTTCTATAGGGGTTCTCGCTATGGGTATAAAAAGGGGTGGTAATCTGGGTTTTGTGGGGACTGAATCTTACACAAACTGTAGGGGGAAGGCTCAATAAGAAAAAGAATACAAAATTGGGCTTAAAAGTGAGTATTTACTTAGAATGAGAAAAATAAATTACTAATTCAAAAAAGCTAACAAGTCTCTCTCTTACACACACATAAGACAGACACACACACTCCAGCAAAATAACTAACATTCCTTTGTAATATATTTTTCCATCTACAGTTTTTGGCTGCAAATGATTTTATCACTTCTTCATATGAAGATTTTGAAATATTTTTGTTAGAAAGCTAATTCAGTCTTTCTTCTAATGAAGCCAATTTCTTATTATAAAACATTTTTTTTTATTATTGATAGTTTAGAAATGTTTCAGCTTCACAATTTTTATTTGTAATGTTATGTACATTACCTAGTTATCTAGTTAGTGCTCTGTTAGCTATTTGATTTTGATTTTAATAGCAATATGGTATTTCAGTACATGGATAGACCATAATTTATTTTGCCCTTCTCCTAGATATTTTCCGGTTTTTCCACTATTCTAAGAAAATCATTGATAATCATCCTTCAAGTTAAATATTTGTTCACATTCAGAAGTAATCATCAGTGACTATGTTTCCCAAATTAGAACAATCATTAAAATCATTTAGGAGGCTTTTTTTAAAAATATATTTTATTGATTTTGTACAGAGAGAAAGGGAGAGAGATAGAGAGTTGGAAACATCGATGAGAGAGAATCATCAATCAGCTGCCTCTTGCACACCCCCTACTGGGGATATGCCCGCAACCAAGGTACATGCCCTTGACTGGAATCAAACCTGGGACCTTTCAGTCCACAGGCCCACGCTCTATCCAACTGAGCCAAACCGGTTTCAGCGTGGGAGGCTTTTTTAAAAGTACGGAATTCTTGGGCTTCACTTCATACCTATTGAAACCAATGGAATATTAGCTTTCATTTATAGAGTGTCTATAATATGCCAGCTTCAATGCCAGGAATTGTACACATGATATTTCATATATTTCTATAATACCCCTAAGAGATAGGTTATACTTTATCATTCTTTTCAAAAGAGATATATTAAAAATCATCTCCACCCTCATCTGACATTAAGTAACTTGCCCAAATTCACACAGCCAAAGATGAAAGAATTAGCAGTAAACTTGGGTCTTTAAAATCCCTGCTGCACTGCTCCTCAAAGTTAAGAATAAAATATGTAGTTTATGATCTAAGGATTGATTAAAATATGCTTATTATAAATTAGATTAAGAGATATTTCAATTTTTGTTTCTGAAAAAAATATAGGTAATAAAGAAAAAAATCATAATTTTATTAAATTAGCTATCTTTAAATGATCCTTCTAAAAATACATTTTCTGCAATGGTCATTATGGTCAATTGTTTAGAGCATTGTCTTGTACTAAAAGGTGGCCAGTTCAATTCCCAGCCAGGGCACACCCAGCATATGGAAGGTAAACCAAATCAATGTTTTCCTTCCCATCAATGTTTCTCTCTTTCTCTTCCTCTCTCTAAATTCAATGTTTTAAACAAAATTTATATTTTCTGAGTTTCTAACTGAATCTTTCAGACTCACCCATTAAAATTATGTCTTTTAATTCTCATTTAATCTCCAGGTTCCTCTTCCACCCATTTTCCCCTTTACAGTTCATCTGTTGAAGAACCAAGGAATTTGACCTGTGGCGTTTCCCATAACTGGGACCTTGCTGATAGCATATTCATGAAGCAGTTCAGCATGTTCCTTTGTTCTCTGGGTTTCCTGCAAATTGGCAGCTAGAGACAGAGGCTTGGTCTGACACAGGTTTTATTTCTTTGGCAAGACTATGGGAAGCAGAGTGTCCTTTTATCAGGAGGCACATAGTCTATGATTATCTCTGACTTGATCAAAATTATCTCATCTTTGCTTATCTGAAATGCATTCTTTGATAGAATTCTCATCAAGGGCTCATGGGAACACTATTTTTTGCATTCTTATATGTTGATAACAATTTGTGCCATTTATACTTGAAAGTCAATTTTGCTGGATATAAAATTTTTGGCTCACATATTCTTTCCTTAAAAATGAATGCTTCTTAGTTTGCCTTATGGATATTTCTTGTTTCACTAAGGTAGAGCCTCTCTCCTCTCTCTCTTCTTGTTTTGTTTTGTGGATTCTTGTGGGGGGAAAAGATATTCTTATGGAGAGGAGAATTTAAAAGTACATATGTCCACTATCTTTAATTATATGCCAATTTCTGTCAAAAGTTTTTGTCAAAATAAAATATAACAACTTGTATTCAGAACTATTACACTAAAACATGTGTTTTGAAAATAGAAGTTAGCTATGAAGCAACTTTTACAAAACAGAAGTTCATGAACCAGGATAAATGAAACCAAATATGTGGATTTGGCTATATTTTGCATTTTTCTTGGGTGATTTTAGTTTCATTTCTTGGTCTTTTTCACTGGACACCTCCCAAGTCGACATAATGAGGACCATGTGTAGAATAGGATCGAAAATGAAGTCTTATTTCTTCAAATCAACAATCTATATTCTATTTATCTATCTCTACAGTGTCAAATTCCCTATTTCCTTACCTATTGCTCCCATCCAATGATGTGCTAGTAAACTACCTCTCCAACAACAGCAAAAGGACTTGATTTCTAGCATTCGACAATTTATGTATGCACACTATGGCTGATTTCAAGCTACTAACTGTTTAATAATTGGCTTACATAATTCCTGAATATTTACTAGTTAACTCTTGTGAACTGGTATGAGCCAGATAATATCGATAAAAGCACACCCATTGGCCCCACCCTCTCCCTAGATAATTTGTATGCTTTACATTTTTTTGTGTATGGAATTCTATGAATCTTTGCCTTTATTTCAAAAGCCAGCATTTTTCAACATTGATGAAATTTGATTTATAGTCTTGACAAAAGTCAAGACTATAAATTACCCTAATTTTCTCAAATAAAAACATTTGAAGTCACAAATACTGTTTTTTGAATGAATTAAATTCAGGAAGGCAACTGGAGCAAAAAAATGCTGGGCATATCCTATAAATGACCATATATATTTTTTAAAACATGAAAAACATAACCTTTGTTAACTTCCCTTTGGAGACTAATAATTTAGGAAATTATTCAATAATCAATAATAAGCACTACTATGAGTAACAGTGGAAAAAACAAAACAAATGCTCAACAATTGGTAAATGACTTTACAAATTATGGCATACTAATATGAAAATACATTATATAGCTATTAATATTATAAATATGTAGGATATATCAATACATGTTTTATGTGGGTAAAAGAGGTGACTCTAATTCACAATAGAAAAAACTGAATTCTCTGGAGTGAGGGAGAGGACAGAAGTGCTCTGCTAAGAAACCTTGCACTTATTTGAACTTTTATTTCAAAATTATTTTATTTTGGATTTTTTTCTCCATGCTAATTTATTTATTTATTTTTTTATTTTTTTCTTAAAGAAAAAAAAAAAAAAAAGACTTCCCTCCTCTCAATTCTCGTAGTGTTTTAGCTAGCAACACTTTGCCAGTGCCTACTACTTGTCAGATCCTTTGCTAGGTTCTAGAGCTTCTCAATCTTTTGCATTTAGCACATTTCAGCTTATAATATGGATGAGTAAAAGTTCATGATTTCATGAATTTAAAAATACCCCACAAGTAGTGCTAGCTTTTCTCCCACTGGATGGGGAGATACCCCTCAGGGATGGAGTCTTTTTTTTTTTTTTTAAATAAGTTTTTATTGTTCATATTATTACAAATGTTCCTTCCCCCCCCCCCACCATTGCTCTCCTCCACCAGGTTCCCACCCTCTGCCCTTTCCCCACTCCCCATTGTCCTTATCCATAGGTGCACAGTTTATGTTCAGTCTCTTCCCACGCCCCCCTCTCCTCTTTTCCCCAAGAATCGTCAGTTCACTCCCCTTCCATACCTCTGATTCTATTATATTCAACAGTTACTATTGTTCGTCAGATTTTTTTTTAATTTCCTTGGTTTTTAGATTCACTTGTTGATAGTTACGAATTTGTTGTTCATAATTTTTATCTTTGTTTACTTTCTCTTCTGAAAGAACTCCCTTCAGCAACTCATATAAGTCTGGTTTGGTGTTGATGAACTCCTTTAGCTGTTTTTTATTAGTGAAGCTCTTTATCTGACCTTCGATTCTGAGTGATAGCTTTGCTGGATAGATTATCTTTGGCTGTAGGTTCTTACTATTCATCACCTTGAATATTTCTTGCCATTCCCGTCTGGCCTGCATGGTTTCTGTTGAGAAGTCAGCTGACAATCGTATAGGTGATCCTTTATAGGTAACTACCTTCTTTGCTCTTGCTTCTTTTAATATTCTTTCTTTGTCTTTTGCTCTTGGAATTTTAATTATGATTTGTCTTGGTGTGGTCCTCTTTGGATTCCTTTTGTTTGGAGTTCTGTGCGCTTCCTGGACTTGTAAGTCTAATTCTTTCCCCAGGTGGGGGAAGTTTTCTGTCACTATTTCTTTCAGTATGTTTTCGATATCTTGCTCTCTCTCATCTTCTGGGACCCCCATAATTCTGATGTTGGTTCGCTTGAAGTTGTCCCAGAGGTTTCTTACATTATCTTCAATTTTCTGGATTCTCTTGCCTTCTAGCTTCTGTGGAGGAGTGTCTTCTGGCTCTTTATGTTCCAAATCTTTGACTTGATTCTTGCGATCTTCCCTTCTGTTTTTAGGACTCTGTAAAATATTTTTTATTTCAGACAATGTATTCTTTATTTCTTGTTGTTCCCTTATCATTTCTTGATGACTCCTTATTAATTCTAGTTGATTTCTTTTCATATCCTCATAGGTCTTATCCATCTTTTCTAGGAAATTCTTGAAAAACCTTATAAGCGTAGATTTGAACTCTATATCCAGTCGCTTTTTGTCCTCCATTTCTTTCGTTTGTGATCTATTTCGTTGTCGCATTTCGCAGCTACAGATGGGGCGGGGTTTCAGGGTGGAGCCTGCAGCCTTGGCTTCCGTCAGCCCCGCCCTATGCGGGTCCTTCAGTGCTCGCTGCCAGCGCCTCTGAGAGAAAGGCGCCCTGGATCGCCTGCTGCCAAACAGTCAATGCTCTCCCCAATGAGCCCGGTATTGGGGTTCAGTTCAGTTGGAAGTGGAGTTGGAGGTGGTGTTCAGAGCAGTCTGGAGCCCCTGTCTCCTTCTCGCCAGGCAATCCCGCGGCAGAGCCGGCCGTCCCTTCTCTGCGCACAATGTGTGCACCGCCGGGACCTCCTTTCGCAGCTTCCCCGGGTTCCGCCTCGCAGCCCAGCTCCCTCTGGCTGAGCCTGGGTCCCCAGGGTCTGGCCTAAGCCTGGGGTTCAGAGCAGTCAGAATGGGGCCCAGCACAGTCGGAGTTTTATCTCCTTCCTGCTTTGGAACGCTCGCCAGGCACTCCGCCTCCCTCCTCTCCAGCTCCGTCCTCTCCGCCCGCCGCATGTCTCCGTACCTTAGGCTTTTCCAGCTCCTCCGCGCTTCCTTCTGGTTTCCTCCTTGCTTCTCGTTGTAGAATTTCCAGTCAGTCAACTTTCCTGTAGTTCTGGGTAATGTCCGTTTTATATTTTAGTTGTATTTTATTGAAATTGTTGTGTGAGGCTGCAGCTAGGTATTCACCTGGGCACAGCCATCTTGGAGGATCAGGCTCTCCATGCTAATTTAAATGTGGATTATTTTGCTGCTATCTTACATGTTCTGAGATTTTAATATATTTGCATCTTATCTTTTAATTTCATAAATTTATAGTAATTTTTGTTTGAATTTGGTTGTTTTAATCTTAAATATTATTAAGTAGTGTTGGAAGCCATGTTTGCTACTTAATGATTTTCTCAATTTAATTTTAGATACTTGAATTTATACATCCAAACATGTTTAGGAGTTAGTTGACTCATTTAGTTATAACTTTTCTTATTGACATTTCATAATGCCAACAGTTTACCAATAAGTATTTTTAACCAAAAGCAGATAGACTTTATCTATCTATCTATCCATCCATCCATCCTCCTGAGCGTTGCTTGGTCTCTTTTACTTTAGTATACCTAGCCAAGTGTAAGCAGCAATGATGCCTGCTGATAAGATTTAACATTCTTTTCCAGAATTTACCATGCAGTTTCCCAGTCTATACCAATGGGTCTGGAGAATAACAGATTCAGAGAAGACAAAAATCAAAGCAAATATCCTAATTACCATACAATACTTCAACTATCAGCCTGACAAATACTTTTTTAAAAGACAACAGAATCTAGTAGGTACTGTAAACCATACAGAAGATTGTAAGCAGCAACTGGTTTTATTCTACCTTATCACACCTGCTTCCCCAGACCATGGGAGATTCATACTCTTTCGCTCAGAATACCATCACCTCTCCATGTTAAGGCCCCTTTTTCTTTATATTTTTCCAAGACCCACTTGTATGCTTTACATTTTTTGTGTATGGAATTCTCCATCCCCCATGGGGAATTCTCCATTCCCCATCACTCAATTTGCTGTTCTTAATTCTAATATGTATATTTTGTTTATTTATTGTTTTAAATAATCATAAATAGTATGTTGTAGATCTAAAAATTTTTTCTGCTTAATTCAGTATGAATTTAAACACTCTATTATTCATGTTACTCCATATATTTCTGGTTCACTCTCTTTGCATGTTGCAAAATATCCCAGAGTATGCTCTTATGTATTCATTCTTCTAGTGATGGACAACTAAATTGCCTCCAACTTCCCACTGCCACTACTCTATCAATGCTCCAATCAATATCCTTATACATTTCTCCTGCTCCAGAATGGTTGCTCCAATCTGACTTTCACCAATAGGTCCTGGCTTTCCCATTTATCCAAATTGTAGTTATAATATGTTATACTTTTTGCCTATTTAAAGAGTATAAAGTGGTATCTCATTATTTTAATTTTTATCTGATTATCAATGAGAACTGACATCCTCCAAAAATGTGTTAACCAACTGCACACATACAAAATAACTTACATTTGCTAGTTGGTAATTGCTGTTTTTGAGACATATTATTGACTTTTTAAGATTTAAAATTTTTATGATACAACACCTATAAAATAACATATATATATTATTTTGCACATTAGTAAAATGAACCTGTGAATCCACAAACCCACTGAAGTAATTGAACATTTCAATAACAGTGAAGCTTCCTGTGTATCCCTCCCTGATGTATCCCTATTTTTCCTCTCCAGTGATAACCACTACCCTAAATTTTGCTTTCAATATGGTTTTAACACATATGTAAATGTATTCTTAAACAATATGCTATTAATTTAGTTATAGTCATTTTTTAGCTATATTAAAAATGCCATCATACTGTAAATAGTCTTTAAGAGGCAACCTTTTCACTCCACAAATGTTTATTTTTTATGACATCTTTAGGGTTGGAGAAAAGCTGATATTTTTGCAGGAACCAAAATACCTATTCATTCTTTTATTTTTTTCCTCCCCTTTCAAAAAAAAAGTTTGTTAAATTTTTATTTCCACATTGCTATCTTCTCCTGCATCAACTAGCATTAAGTAGGTATTCAAAAGTGCTTCTGAAGTGAAATTTTAAAACAGAGAAAAAGACCCTCACAATTAATTAAAATACCTGCTAAATTTTAATAGGAATTTATCATCAGTTAACCCCCAACTTACCTGAAATGGCTTTAGGAATGTTTCCTCCATTGCCAGTCTGCCATACTCAGTGAAAAGCTAGAAGGAAAATCACACATACAAAGACACACATACCAACACATATGCACAAAGAAAACGTCAGTATCTGCAAAGTTTTACTTTTGGGCTTTCTTCCATTCATATTTTTCCCCAATCTTAAAATTACAATAATCTTTTAAAATATATATATTTTATTGATTTTTTTTTTTTACAGAGAGGAAAGGAGAGGAATAGAGAGTTAGAAACATTGACAAGAGAGAAACATCAATCAGCTGCCTCCTGCACCTCCCAACTGGGTATGTGCCCACTACCAAGATACATGCCCTTGACCTGAATAGAACCTGGGACCCTTCAGTCTGCAGGCTAACACTCTATCCACTGAGCCAAACTGGTTAGGGCTACAATAATCATTTTAAGGAACTAAGTATTAGATAAAACAGTACAGTAATTTTATATTTTAAAAATAAAGTTTCCATTTTAAAGCTAACATCTTTTATAACTAGAACTAGAGGCCCAATGCACAAAATTTGTGCAAGAGTATGCCTTCCTTCCCCCGGCTGATTGGTACTGGTTTCCCTCTGGCACCCGGGACCCAGGCCTCCCTTGCAGCCCCAGCTTCATCCAGAAGGTTGTCTTGAAGGATGTCCAGTCTAATTAGCATATTACACTTTTTATTATTATAGATATAGGACAGTTTTTTTGTAGGGACAATGGGGAGAAACATGTTAAATGACCTTTCAAAATAGAACTTGCAATAAATTGTTATATATATACATACACACACATATCTATATCTATATCTATCTATATATATGTATATATGTGTATATATACACACACACACACATATATGCATATGTGTGTGTGTGCGTGTGTGTGTGTGTGTGTGTGCTTGTTGCCTGAGGACACACAATGGCCTGGATTATTACAAAGTCATATAGGTATTTGGCTTAAAAATCAAAACATCAAGTACACTGCTGTCTAATATTTTTTACTGTGCCCAATTGAGAGGCATGATAGCAGTTTTTATGTTGCCAGAAATGGAAGGTTTTGGAGATCACGACCTAAAGGAGTGACTGTGATTGCGCGTCTGATAAGAGTTTTCCCATGTGTGCACAGGAAATGCCACTAGATATACAAGATTAACAAGCCACAGTGACTTTTCGGAGCTGGGGAAGAAAGCTGACACAGAGGATTACTATCCTTTCCCCTCTTCGTGGGGGCTATGGGAATATAGGAAGCAAAGGATAATTATTAGATATTTGATTAGAGTAGTTAAATGAAAGTCTGGAGTATCATATTTACAAAGCAACTGGCCTGAGCTGGTTTGGCTCAGTGGATAGAATGTCAGCCCGGGGACTGAAGAGTCCCGGGTTCAATTCCAGTCAAGGGCACATGCCCAGGTTATGGGCTCAATCCCCAGTAGCAGCGTGCAAAAGGCAGCCAATCAATGATTCTCTCATCATTGATATTTCTATCTTTCTCTACCTCTCCCTTCCTCTCTGAGATCAATAAAAATATATTTTTTAAAATAAAAGGCAGCTGGTCAGGGATTAAACACTCTCATTAAAATTATCTATTATACTAACATAAATTGAATACACAACCTTTTTTGAGGAAGACTGAGATATTGTCACTTATAGGAAATTTTTAAGTGATCTCAAAAAAGACAATTTATTCAATATAAAAATCCAAAATCAGTCCTTCTTTAAGAAATCCCTAAAACTGGTACTGAACAGTACATGCTTAAAGAAGTTATTATATTTATTACTGTATAAGAAATATATAACACAAACCAAATAAAATAAAAACACAAATTAAAATAAAAAAGAGAGCAACAACAAATTTAACACTTACTCAGCATATGGCCTATTTGTCATAAAGGTCAGTGAGATATACAGGGCTGGTGTGGCTCGGTTGGAATGTCCCCTCCACCAAATGGTGGCAGGTTGGATCCCTGGTCAGGGCACATGACCCAGGTTTCCATGCATGGGAGACAATGGATTGATGTTTCTCTCATACATTGATGTTTCCTCTATCTCTCTTTCTTTCCCTACCTCTCTTCCTCTCTCTAAGATCAATTTTAAAAAATTATAAATAATAAATAAAACTAATTTAAAAAGAAAAAATATATATTTGGGAGTAATACTGGTTGTAAACTCAAATGATTTTTCTGACATTAGAGATCACCCTGCTTTATCATCCTTTGTTTTCTGTTAAATTTGTAAATGGTTCTTATTGCAAAAATTAATTAATACACTGAAAGCAAAATTTTCTACCAAATACACAGAGGACAACTATCAGAGAAACAATAGGCTTTCCTATGTAACCAATATAACATGAATTGAAAGGGAGCAGGGTGTTACAGAAATGTGAAATATCTTTTAAGAATAGCTAATCTTTTACTTGAGATTTAAATGATGCTTGGAGAATAGAAGAGACACTAAGCTCAGACAGATAACCATATTTTTACTCCCACTCTACCACTAATTAGCCATAAGAATTTAGGCAAATCATTTCTTTATTTCAGCCAAACTTTCCTCATGTATAAAATATGAAGTATAAATTGGGTGTCACTGAAGTCTCGTTCAGATCTAAAATAGAATACTATGAGTTATCATCAGGTAAGCCCCTCAGAGTTCTTAGGTATAAAGTGGTCCACAGTGGGGACAAATGGGCATACAACTGGAATCACACTGGCAATTATTAAATCCTTGATCTTAAGACTTTTACTTCATATTTTGGGTCATTTTTAAAGCCAAAGATCATTTTTCCATTCCAACTCGCCACATAGTTTCATATGCAGGTCAATAGCAAGTAATTTTACAGAAACAAAGGCATTTGGAAACTGAGTTAGACAGAATATAATCATACAAGGCTGGAACAAGAAACCTGGAACGAGGACAACCTCCATTTGGTTATGTTTCTAAATTCTCCTGAAGTTCCACTATGCATGCTTAAAAGATTATGAGATATTAAAAAAGATTATAGATATTGTTACCTGCAGGTGCTGAAGATCATCCTCCTGGACATTTTGGGATAAGTTATATACCTTGATTAAGAAATAAAGTTAAAATGAGGAAATAATTAGCATCATCCTAAGCATTACTTTGTCATTCTCCATTTTTTCTAAATATCAGTTATCATAAATGTGAACACTCTAACATACATTCTTATATAATACATTCTTATAACATACATTCTTATATAATGATATTTATAAGATCATAACTGAGTATAAGAAGCTTGAGAAACAAAAAACAATGTTCAATTATCATAAAATTGTTCTAGAAATGCAATAGTCACAGGTCTGGAGGCAGAATATGAAAAATACTTTATGAACTCAACAACTAGCCAATAAAACACTCCCTATAAATAACTAGAGGCCTGGTGCATTAAAATTCATGCACCTGAGGAGGAGGTCCCTCAGCCTGGCGTGCACCCTCTCACAATCAGGGGGCCCTCGGAGAAGGGAGGCAACCTGGCAGAAGGTGACGCCCCCATCACACCTCTGCTGTTGCCACTGCCAGCAGCACAAGTCTAGGTTACCTGAGCCTTAGGTGCCCCTGGGTGACTAGGCAGCCACCATACGAGGCTTGCCCACGCCTCTGGCCAGCCCTGGGCAGCTGGGCAGCTGCCATCCAAGGCTTGCCTGCACCTCAGGCTGGCCCTGGGCATTTGGCCAGCCACCATCGGCGGCTTGCTTATGCCTTGGGCTGGCCCTGAGTGGCTGGGCAGTTGCCATCAGCAACTTGCCAGTGCCCTGGGCTGGCCCTGGGCGGCTGGGGAGCTGAGGGGACTGGGGGACTCAGGAGACAGGTGTGCAGAGCAGGTGGGCCCACCAGGGGTGGGCTCAGCCGTGCTGCACACCTGCTGCCCCCGCAGGGCTGAGGGGACTGGGCACCACCATCTTGTGGCTGTAGGTGCTGCCACCTTTGTGACAGCATGACAGTCAATTAGCATATTTCTTCTTTATTACATAGGATGGCCATCTAAATCTGAATAACCCATAAAGTTTTCTTAAAATTTTATATTGATTTCTTCAAAACTGGTTATCTGAGTTATCTCTACAAAAAGTTTCATCATATGGAAGTTAGGTTCTGAATATTATGTCCACACCCATAAACGTATGAATTATTACTTCATGAACAGATCACTGTATCAAAGTTATATTTTTTGAGGAGGATAAATATCAGGAAAGTCAAAGGAAACTTAAGGATGTGTACATCTTTATGCATTGTTACAGATAATATATTTTTAAATAGATCATTTCTCAGATAGTAATAAATAGTCATTACTAAAAGAACTTACATTTTCAGTGAAAATATTTAATGTCTTCAGGTAAAATATACATAGTGAATAATAAATATTACAAAGGCAAAGTCAATCTGGTTTTAATTGGCTTGTGTAAATGGGTTATACTGTCAATTATGAAGAAATTAGGTAAGTTGGTATTTTAAAGGGTTATTCATTTAAGAAGTATAATTTTAAAAGCTAGTCAACTATAAGTTATAATCATGGCTTTTTATCTTAAAGTCCTTTATAAAAATTATTTCAGTCTTCCTTCTATTAACCCTCTCAAGGTTGTCCTACCCATACACCGTGCCTTTATTGCCAGTTCACTAGCTCCATTTTCTCTACTTGCTTATAATTTTAGCCTTCCCTTACTCATCCTAACCACTTTGTTTTCCCTAACTTTTAAAACTATCTTACCTTTTTATAAAACTGTATATTTCTTATCTACTATCAGATTTTGCTCTTTACAGTAAATAGAAAATAATTTTAATTTGGCTTAAAAATTTTTTATGCTATGTGTTCTATTACTATAGTAAAATTCTCCAAGTAATTTAGGACAACTTATAAAGCCTACAATAACCCCACACACAATACTTTAAGAAAAGGCAGAGAAAGAAAAAAGATAAAAATTTTTACAAGAAGACAGCTACTTTCCTAAGTGTATAATAATATGTTTTAAAAAGCTATGAACACATATTCATGTTTTTTATATTTAGAAATGTTTCTACTAGCTATGTAAAATAAAATTTTGCATTTATAAATCTTATTTCAATTAATATAACTTAACTAGGTGATACCAATGTAACCAACTGCATACATTATAAGATTTAATATTATTGAGTTTATTTCATGCTCTAAACAGAAAAAAATTATCAATCTGTACTAATAAAAGAGAAAGATGCAAATTGACACACCGCCCCAGCCACTTGGGGCCTCTGGGCAGTGTGGGAAGGTGGAAAGGTGGCTCCCAGCTCAAGCAAAGGCGGTGCTGGCAGTAGGGGAAGGAAGGCCCATTCTTGCACAAATCTCCGTGTATCGAGCCTCTAATAAGATAATATAATCTTTTCTGACTAAAGTAGGCAATTTGAAAACTTATCAGAAATTAGATGATAATAATCAAAACAATTCTACTGTTACAGAAATAATTAGAACTGGTATGCTAATTAAGTCAAATAATATCCAGGATTTACCATTTCTGTTGCTTGTCTCACTAGCACACATATATAGAAATATATATATTCATATTTTTAGTGAAAGAAACATCCATAAATATGGATTTATTTTACTCCATACCTGTATAGAGCTGATCATTGTGCTAAGGGCAAATACTGTGGCAGAATCTCTCAAAGTTGATTGACTATCAAAAGTTCCCTGAGTATCCATCAATAGCACTGCAACCTATAGGCAAGTAGAGAACATTATTGACATTTTATAGAACATGTAGACTAGTTTTAGGGTTAACAAAAGTTAACATTATGAAAACTAAAATAAATAATAATGAATATTTTTACGTGTGCCATGAATGCCACAGAAAATAAAAATGTAATTAGTTGCTGAATACTATAATGATTAACTTTCATGGTAATCCAACCTAACAGAAACATCACTGAAACAAAGTTTAGATGTTAGCTGATCTGCTGTTCCATTGTTTCTACAATTTTGCTTACCTTGAAAGGAAAATAGGAAATATGCAATAGAATGCTACCAACTTCCCTTTTAAATATCATGTCAAATGGCCAAAAATTAGTTTTCAAAATAGAGCTTTTGAGGATCCTGAAAAGTGATAAATGTTGCAAGTGAAAAATCTATTTTTTTAAAGAAGTTCACGTCATACCTTTTTACCATCAGGTTTATTGATAAGGAAGACTTCACTCCATATCTGGATTCCTGTAGTCTCTCGTTCAGACCCACCTCTCCATGAAAAACCAGTCAATGGTTCATTGTAATCTCCAACCCAATCAACTGATTCCTATAAAATTAAGAAAGTCTCTGATACAGAACCAGATGTGTAGTATATCATAGTATTTTTTACTCATCCATTAAGATTTGTATTCTCTTTCTAATTCTAGCCAAAAGGAAACAACATATGCACATCTACTGTACTGACACAATTACTTTATTAATTAATCCAAAAATTAATTACAGAGGAAGCAATCATCTGCCATATGTTATGCTAGGTCCTGGGGATTCAAAGATATTCCAGACCAATGGAAGCTCATAACTTAACAGGGGATAGACATGCTAATTAATCAATATTATATTATATATGCCAGTTAAAATGGGAGTATATATTAGGCATAAATGGAAACATAAGAAAGAAATAATTAACTCTTGGTTATGTAAGACTTCAAATGAGAGGTGATGTTTGAGCTAAACACTGAAGGATATTTAGGAATTTTCCAGGTGAGCAAACTTAGGGAGAGCATTCCAGAAACAAAGATATAAAGATATGAGAGAATTGCCGAAACCAGTTTGGCTCAGTGGATAGAGCATCAGCTTGAGAACTGAAAGGTCCCAAGTTCAATTCTGGTCAAGGGCATGTACCTTGGTTGCGGGCACATCCCCAGTAGGGGGTGTGCAGGAGGCAGCTGATCGATGATTCTCTCTCATTGATGTTTCTACCTCTCTCTCTCTTCCTCTCTGTAAAAAATCAATGAAATAGCCGAAACCGGTTTGGCTCAGTGGATAGAGTGTCAGCCTGTGGACTGAAAGGTCCTGGGTTCAATTCCGGTCAAGGGCATGTACCTTGGTTGCGGGCACATCCCCAGTAGGGGTTGTGCAAGAGGCAGCTGGTCGATGATTCTCTCTCATTGATGTTTCTAACTCTCTATCACTCTCTCTTCCTCTCTATAAAAACTCAATTAAAATTTTTTTTTAAAAAATCTTACCAAAAAAATCAACAAAATATATTTTTAAAAAATAAATAAATAAAAATAAAGATATGAGAGAATATAGTATATCAGGATATACACAAATGCTTTGGTATTGGGGAAGGAGGAAATGAATAATAGCAAAAGGAAAGGTATCTATTAATAGCTATAGAAAGACAAAAACAAAATAAATCTGAGTTTTAATCTGAGAAAATGCTATTTAACGCAAGCAACATGACAAGGGTTATTGAGCATTTCATTCAAATGTTTAACAGTTAAAATAATGAACATGTATAAAACTGTATAATCCCAAAGAATGTAAAGTATAATAATTTTGTTCACTCAATTTTCCCACCTATGTTATAACACACTAATGTTTGGTATGATAGAAATAGAGAATGATAAGTTTTTCTTGCTTTCAAAGCCTGAGATTTTAGCAGTTTTGTTCTTGATTTGTTTGAACTGTCACTAGACATAAGATGTTAATGTTACAAAATTGTTAAAAAATAACCCAACTAGAAAAGATCAATCCAAAATAGATAATTATGGTATAAATACATAGAATCAAATTTCTTGGTTAATGTGTCCATTCTGCCTCAAAATTCGTATTTGCATCAGAATTGCTATGGGTAAAAGGTAGAAAAAATATTGCTATGCTCTCCACACGCAACCCTCTACTCCCTAGCTCCAAGCTCTTATTTATCCCTCTGCTTTTTATTTATCCTAGGTCCTGAATGTCTCGTTTCTGTGACATGCTGCTGATGCAAATGTTATGACACTGTTACCTCTGGGGGTGGGGTAAGAAATGAGTGGGAGAAGATCAGAGAGAACTTTCTGGGGTAAAGGTAAGATATACTTGATAGACTTTGGGGTTATAGAAGTATATACATTTTCAAAAAAATAAGCAATTGCACTCAAGATTTGTGCATGTAACTATGTAAATTTTATAACAAGAGAAAAAATAAATACTAAAATGTATAATAATGATGTATATTGAGAAAATTTATGGGAAGTATACTGACATCAGCAATTTACTTTGACATGAATCAGTAAATTAAGATGAAGTGATGGATGGAAATACTAGAGACATATGGGGTAATGCAAGAATATTAATGTCTATGGTAGAATTTCATTAGTGAATACCCAGCTATTTACTGTAAAACTCTTTTACCTTTGTTGCATGCTTGAAAATTATAATAAATTGGGGGGAAATGATTATAATAAAATGTTATGACAAAAGTTATTTGACCTTTTTTAAATAAGCTATTTAAACCCTAGAACATATAAAGTTTATAATCATATTACTATGTAGTACCTATTTTTAAATGTAAAAAATAAGATATGTTCTAAGGGTAAAATAGCTAGGTAGCTTCAGGCAAAAAGGCCCTATGTAGTTTGGTGCCCAAAGCATCAAAGTTGGAATGACTACAGCATAGCATTTTTAAACTAGTGCATATTTAGGATACATAATAATAGAAATAGAAATAATGGACACTACTAAATAAAAGCACAAAATGACAGCACAGAAACAGAAAACTTAAAAACAAAAACAAAAACAAAAACCTCTTACATACCTGGCTGTACATGTATCTCAACATGAAATCCATTAGGAATGATTTTCCTTTTCTAAATGCTCCAGCCACAGATACAGCAACAACCTCCTTGTCTCTGACAGCCTCTGAGAGAAGGATTCGATTTAGTGCAGTTTCATCTAACTCAAAAGAATGGTGATCTTTGACAACAAGGACTTGGACTGGTCCTGCCTTTTTCACTGGTTCCTCCTCTTCTAAGCTCCACTCATTTGTCTTTTCTGAAAACCCACCTGTTGAATATAATAGCAAGGTAGTCAGGTAATCATCTCAAAATATCAAGCAAGTAAATGTACCTCTCAACTCTCAAACATCTGAAACAGGAACACAGCTGAATTAGAAATACTCCTTTTAAATGACATGTTAATGTCATTCACATCATACCTCAGAAACATTTACATCTGGTCTTTCTGATTATGTGACCAAATAAAACAATTTTAGTTTCAAAACAGTTCTACATCAGTGCAGAGATCTCTGATTGTAGAGTGAGAAAAACCAAAACAAAGGAGTCTACTTTTAGGAAAGAGGAATAAAATAACTTTAGTAGTTACTTTATTCTCCTAGGAATAAGTTTAGTTATTCAAATGAAAGAGCCTTGCAAATTTTTTTAGAGTTGCACATACATAGGAGGAAAAACTTAAAAAAGACTCATAATCACACATTCTTTTTTTAAGAAACAAAACAAAACATACATTTCATTGATTTTTTACAGAGAGGAAGAGAGAGGGATAGAGTTAGAAACATCGATCAGCTGCCTCCTGCACACCCCCTACTGGGGATGTGCCCACAACCAAGGTACATGCCCTTGACCAGAATAGAACCTGGGACCTTTCAGTCTGCAGGCTGACATTTTATACACTGAGCCAAACCAGTCTCGACATAATCACACATTCTTGAAACTGGAATAAATCTCTAATGCAACTAGTTCAGCTCCCTCTGATGTATGCATCTCATCTACAAAATCCCAGACTCTTAATTGTCTAAAGTTATACCTCATAGCAATGGAAATGACAGAGAGTTGAATTGGGGAGGGCCAGATTACAGAAGACCTTACATGGCAAAGAGGTCTGAAATAATTTGATAAAAAATAAGAGAAACTTTTGACAGTTACTTTATGTGAAAATCTTACCAAAAAAAATTATGCGAACCCTAGGAAATTACTAAATCTCTCAGTTTCTTCATCTGTAAAATGGAAACTACTCATAGTACCTATTTAATAGGGTTGTTGTAAAGACTGAGGGAGTTACTGAGTTACTATATGTAAAGTGCTGAGAACGGTGCTGTCTCTTAGCAAGCTTATAAAGGTTGACAGCTCATTAGCTATCATCATCACACCACCACTACTCCCTTTGGACTACTGGCTGATTTAAGTATTCCTGGAAGAAGTTCTGAATACTTTCTATAAGTTCGTGTGTGTGTGTGTGTGTGTGTGTGTGTCTGTATGCACTTTCACGTTTTCTGAGTTTTCTATTGAATTATCAGAAATGCTGTTTTTGAGGTCAACTTTTAGAATTCATCCTTAATATACAAGAATTTTGGAACCCTGGGCCTTGGCATTTGTGATAAAGTACAAAACAACCTCAATGTGTCAATGTGACACATTCTTATACCCAATGCCTTTGTGACTTTATAATATCTCCTGCTTTGACTCAGGGGTCAACCACATGATTTCCTGTAGCAGGCATGTCTCTACCATGCACCACAAGAATATTCCTAGACTAGTCTGATAGTTGCAGGATGAGAGTCACTTGGAACAGGAGCAAACTGTCCAGTCCCAGCCACACCCTGCAGCAACTAACCCTCAGTGATGTGAGGGAGCAAGCCAACATCAACAGTTACCTAACACATATTTCAACATGTGATCAAGAAATACTGTTCTATGCCTCTGAGGTTTTGTGATTGTTTATCATGCAACATAGCAGGCAATAACCAACCAATACAGCCTATAACTCCTTCCTTTAGAAAGGCAGTACAGTGTGGTGGTTAAAAACACAGGCTCTGGTTAAAAACACAGTCTGGTTAAAAACTGGACTGCTGAAATTCAAATCAAGGCCTTCCCACTTTTTAGCTGAGTAACCAGGCAAGTAGTTTAACCTCTGTGTCTACCTCATAAGGTTCTTGTAAATTGATATATGCATATAACACACTGAGAACAGTGACTGGTACATAGTAAATGCTATTAGTATTATTATAGATTTAGGAAAGTTAAAGCCAAAGATGTAACTGACCTTGCCCAAGAAAAGGAAATAGAATTTCTCTATCAGGCAATCTACCATGGATGCCTCCTTGTGTTATTTGTTTATTCCTTTAAACAATTTATCAAGGTATTTATTATCATCTGTATTTTTGACACATGAGAAAATTAAGAATTGGATAACTAATTTTCCCAAGATCAGACCCACTAACAAGTGATATATCCAAGTTCACATAGTTAATAGCTATCAATTTAGGACTAGATCCAAGATTTAAAAACACACACATCTAACACATAGACAAGAGTGCAAGAAATGAGGGACAAAATAGCTATAAGACATAAAGAAAACAAACAGTAAATGGCAGAAGTAATTATCAGTAATTATATTAAATGTAAATGGATTAAACTCTAATCAAAAGACAGAGAATGGATAAAATAATAACAACAACAAAAACATGATCCTATCCACAAGAGATTCACTTTAGTTCTAAAACACAAACAGGTTGAAAGTGAAAGAATGGAAAAATATACTCAATGCAGATGGTAACCAAAAGAAAATAGTAGTGGCTATACTTATATGAGACAAAATAGACTTTAAGTAAAAAAGGTTACAAGAAACAAAGAAGGATATTGTATATTAAAAACTTCAACATAGCAAGAAGATATAACAGTTGTAAACATTTATGCTGCCAAAAGCAGGTCATCAAAATATGTGAAACAAAAATTGGAGACTTCAATACCCCATGGTTAAAAATGGATAGAAGCATCTTTCTTGTTATTGTATCTACATGAGATGATGGATATGGTAATCATTTCATGATATATGTAAATAAAACCATCATACCACACATCTTAAAGCTCTATGGTGATATCAATTATTTCTCAATAAAACTGAAAAATGTTAACTTTTCCTCAAAAAACAGAAACCTACAAATTAATTTTTTTCAATATGATTATTTTATTTCATTTTCATACACAAAAAAGATAAAACTTGAAATAGTTCTAGATTATTCCTCCTATTCTGTTGGGGTGTGGCTGCTTTTTCACAAAAAATCAATAAAATATATATTTTTTTCAATATTATTATTTTATTTCATTTTCATACACAAAAAAGATAAAACTTGAAATAATTCTAGATTATTCCTCCTATTCTGTTGGGGTGTGGCTGCTTTTTCACAAAAAATCAATAAAATATATATTTTTAAAAAATTAATTTTAACAGACATTTGCCACACATACTGTGCAGCTAAGAGAGATTTTCTTTTCTTTTTCTTTTTTTTTCTTTTTTTCCTCCTTTTTGGGCCAGGAAAAGCTGACATTTTAGTGCAAATATTATTTTTCTAAAGCAATCTTACAGAGACAGTTTATATTATGTTGTGGAAAACTCAAATTCCTATGTGGTATCCCAAGTTTTTAACCAACTGTAATTACAAAAGCAAATAAGCAAAAAAGGGTGCACTTCTGTTTTGTTTCTGGAAGTACTTAAGCTCTAAGCCCAACTGAAAGACTGCTTTCTGGGCTACTGCCTCCTGATATTCATCTGTTCCCTTTACTTTTCACACTAGCACATTCTTTGCCTTCTTTTCTAGTCCAAGGTGATCAAATTTATAGAGCCTTGATTTCTTATATCAGCTTAAACCTGGATAGGCTTATTGTGGCCCCTTTTGGCATACTATTTTAGTTCCTTGTCCCCATCCCATGGGTTGGAGAAGCAAACAACTCTCAATTTCTATCTTAAGTCTATAACTTATAAATTATGGAACCTCTGGCAAGTAACTCATGATGAGTCTCAGATTCCTTATCCTATCTCTGTGGTTGGCAAACTGCAGCTAACAAGCCACATCCAGCTCTTTGGCCCCCTGAGTGTGGCTCTTCCACAAAATACCACGGCCTGGGCGAGTCTATTTTGAAGAAGTAGCATTAGAAGAAGTTTAAGTTTAAAATATTTGGCTCTCAAAAGAAATTTCAATCATTGTATGTTGATATTTGACTCTGTTGTCTAATGAGTTTGCCAAACACTGTCTATCTAAGATGTATGCAAACTGACCATAACTCTGCTACACCCACAAGCCATGCACACAAGCCAATCAGGAGTGAGTATGCAAATTAAACCAACAAATATGGCAGCGGCCATGGAGCTGGAGCAAGCAGGAGGCTTGGGTTGCTCCCGACGATGGAGAAAGCCAAGTTTCCCATCCACGCTGGCCTGCCCTGGCCTCTGCTCAAGGCTACAAAGATTCAATTAAAGAAGATAAATAAATATCAGATACCAGGGCTTCTGCTTGGGTCACCAGGGGGATGTGGCCGGCCTGCAAACCATCACAGGCCCCTCGCCCAAGCCGCCCCACACCTCAAGGAAACCCTACCCCTGACACAGGACACCCTTTAGGGCAAACCAGCCAGCCTCCACCTGTGCACCAGGCCTCTATCCTATATAATAAAAGGGTAATATGCAAATTGATCATCACTCCAACATACAAGATGGCTGCTCCCATGTGGACACAAGATGTCCACCATAAGATGGCCAGCAAGGGAAGGTTGTTGGGAAGGACCAGGCCTTCAAGGGAAGGCAGTTGGGGGTGATCCACTCTATGTTCATAGTCCTCCAACTTGCCAAACATGTGACTTTCATCAAGTCATTTACCGAATAGGAGATTCAGTTTTTTCATTTTCACCCCTGCAGTTAGGGGTGACCAGGCTGGTAGGAGAGGTAAGTTGGGGGCGACTGAGCCTGCAGGGAAGGGCAGTTCAGGGGGACCCAGGCCTGCAGGGAACAGCAGTTGGGGGGACCAGCCCTGCAGGGAAGAGCAGTTGCGGGGGGCGGAGGGCAGGCCTGTAGGGGAGGGCATTTTAAGGGCAATCAGGCTGACAGGGGAGCAGTTAGAAATCAGCCAGCCAGGGGAGTGGTTAGGGAGTGATCATGTTGGCAGGCAGAAGTGGTTAGGGGCAATCAGGAAGGCAGGCAGGTGAGCAGTTGGGAGCCAGTAGTCCTGGATTGTGAGAGGGATGTCTGACATTGGAGAGGGTGCAGGCTGGCCCGAGGTAAACACAACTCTTCTCCCCACCCTCCAACCCCGTGCACAAATTTTGTGCACCAGGCCTCTAGTATATTTAAAAAAGGATAATCCCTATATTTGAAGAGTTAAATTTTAAAGGTGTAAATTTATTCAAATTTCAGTTCAGTGTATATTTAGGTATAGGTGATGGGATTCTCAGTCCTACTCACAAACCAACTACCTAGTTGTACACATAGGTATGATCCTCAAATATCACCCCAATTCTGGAAGTTAGCAGAGATGCTTTTCAGGTTTCTAGCTCCCATGGCCCATGTAGACCTAACAGGTCTCTGACCACTCAGAAAATAATAAATCTGTTACATGGACCTACAGGATCCTTATCTATATTTTAAGTCTCCCTGTACAGATTTTATAAATATATCTCCTGTCTTTTTTCTTAGAAATCACTATATTATCAAATCTGGATAGTCTACCTTAGCCCTCTGGTCTTGACTTTCTAATTTGTCTGGGAAATATTTATCTAGATAAATGATAAGGTCAGTCTTTTATAGCTATCACTTGAGTTTTTTTTTCTCATCAGTGACCTCTGGCTCCTACAAAGACCTGTTCTCTCTATTCCCCTGACACCATGCCCAATATCTTATAAAACATTCCACAATACCATGTTATAGAAAATAAATGAGAAGACAACTCTATGTTCGTAGTCCTCCAACTTGCCAAACATGTGACTTTCATCAAGTCATTTACCGAATGGGAGATTCAGTTTTTTCATTTGCAAAACAGGGAACATGTCCTGCAAACTTAAGAGACTAAAGATCAAATGCAGTAATGCATTTGTGCCTGGAAAACTGTAATTCTATATAATGCAGAAGGTATTATCCACTCAAAAGAGGGGCAGTATAGCATAGTGGTAAAGATACTGAAGCCTAACTGCCAGAGTTGGAATCTTGGCCCTATCATTTACCTTTTCATATGTAACAAAAGGATTACAGAACCTACCTCACTGATATTAGTTCAATTATATTAGCTTTTATTGGTATTATTAAATGTCTACTGTGTTAGACATTCTACTAGATGCAGGTAATAAAATGGAGTCAAAACAGATATGACTAATACTTTGCCAGAAACCTATACCTCCTATTCCATATGTTACACTTCCTAAGTCATTTATGTCATATATACTTTACCACAAAGAAAAATCTGAGCAGTAAAGCATTTCTATGGAGTGTTAAGATAAGACTCCTCAACTCCACTATTTCTTTTATGTGAACATTTCCATTGAACATACTCTAGTATTCTTTCCCTAATTCATTACTTGAGTTGAAATTCTCTTGGTCTCTTCTGGGTGAACTGTTTGGGATATGTTTCTATCAAATATAAATAATCAATTATAGTGTTTCTGAACGTAACATCCAAAGAGCTCCTATTTTTCAATCACCTAAGATGCTAATTAAAAGACAGATTCTTGGACCCCATTTCAAAAGCTTTGGCTGGACAATATGGGAATCTGCATGTCTAATAAGTTCCCTTTGAAAATCCTATATGAGAAACACATTCCCAAGAGAGAGAAAAAAAAACCTCCACTAAACAGGAAATCTGTAACCAAAGGAAACACTCAAGAATAATGATTCAAAGCTTCATGAAAGAGAAAAATTTTAATCCTCACCATAAACTTTCACATGCCTGTCTCCAAACAGGGTGGAATCAACAATGCATGAAGATCAAGACCAATACTGACTTGAACATACATACCTTAACTGTGAGTGTTAAACAAGTCTTATTCTAGAAGCCGATGGGAAGGAGGGTGAGAAGGGGACACTGAAAAAGCTTACCCGTATTATCAAAAGCAAAGAAAACAGTGTTATTGCAATTGTCACACCTACTAAACTAAGGTTTGTTGATCTCAGTAAAATGGAAACACTTCCTTTTAAACTCAGACAACTAAAGCTAGACCTCCCTGCTCCCAACTCCCCATAACTACCACAAACCTTGAATAATCTCTCGAATGTAAACCTTTTCTCCTGGGATTTAAGCCGGTCCTGTGACCAATCTGAGCAAGGAGAAATAATGGCTTTTTAATAAAAGTACTCTGAAATAACCAATTAAAATTCATACCTCTTGGTCTGATTGACAGTTATAGATCTCACTGAGATAATCAAGAGGCTCTAAATATCTAGTGGGCGTAAAGTTTCCAAAGAATAATTCAAAACTCATGAACAAAATATGTCTCTGCCCACCAACCCACAGTAGCCTAAGACCTGCTCCGCTCTATATAATAAAATGCCCCATAAGGGCGTGTTTCGTACCAAGACTGGAAGAAATCGGATGCCCAAGGAGGAAAAAGATGCCCAACCTGCCCACCTAAGCATCCTAAATCAAGTCGAGCAGCAGAGCAGGCGGGCGGGGCCGAGATTTCTCCTGCATCACTGCGCTTGCTCTTCTCCGCCGGCGTGAGCACCGCCCACCCACCCAGCGTGAACCCCCTCGGCCTCGCCTCTCCTTCCCCCTCCCCTCGGCCTGGTGCTGAATCATGAGCCCAGTATCTCTGAACGGTGAAATCAAAGAATAGTGCCACCCTGAATGGGGTACCAGGTTGGGGTGGGGCAGAAGGCTGGAAACCACAACTTTGCTTTCTTCTCCCCAACTTCCCCCACCCAACCCCCAAATTAAAAATGAGCACTGCAGCGCTGGGGCACTCCCAAGCGGGCGTCCCTTCTCTGTTGCTCAGGTCTGCAATGCTTTCTGGGCCCCGGCAAGCTCCCGCTTCATTGTTCCAGCCCCGCAGCCCGCTGGGAGCCCGCGCCCAGGAGCTCGCGCAGCTCCCTGGAAAGGGCGGGGGGGGGGGGGGGGGGGGGGGCGTTGAGGATCCCCTATCCCTTACTCAGAGTAACACAGGCCCCTTCCCACCCTCATCTCCTTCCTGCCAACCTGTCGCTAAAGCGGAACGGGCAGTCAGTCTCGGGGAGATGAGGGGTGGGTGCTGTCCAAATGCTGGGAGGAGGTAGACCACGCAGCCAGGGGAGGGAGGGGAGGCGGTGGCTGCAGGAAACCGGGGCCCTCGGCCACGGCATGCAGTTACCTGGGCACCGCTCTGCCATGGCTCCTCCGCCCGACAGGGAGCGGCTGGGCCGGCTGCGACCCGTCTCCCCGCCCTGGATGCTGGTGCCGCGGAGTCCTCGGCCCTCCCTTCCCAGAAGAGGGCCGGTCCCGTGCAGGCGGCAGAAGTCGCCGCATTCTACTCACCCCAGCTATTCCTGTCCTTCTGGTTCTTGGCCATGGTGGTCCAGGGACTGGCGGCAGTGAGGCGCCGTCACCGCGCTCGCTCTGCTCCTGGGCCCCAGGTTGCTGGCAGTGGGAGGCTCTGTGCCCCGCTGGGCTGGGCGCAGGACGCTCAGGCTCTGGATGTTGCTGTGGCGCTGGTGGGAAGGAGAAGGGAGGAGAAAACGGATGAACCAAGCTCAGCATCACAAGCCCGAATTCACACAAATATCAGTGTCACACCCTCCCTACCTCTGCCCACCCCCAGGGCGTGAAGAGAGTGACGGATGGTGAGCTGTAACATTTTCAGTGTCAAACACACATAAACAGACAGCACCTCGCCCCCCTCAGACTCACTCACAAAGAATCTAACAGCATTATCTAGTCACAGAAATACACAAACCGATATACTGTATAGTACTGAATGTTCAGATACCTGTTTTCTAGAACAGTTACATATGAGTACAAACATGGTGGCAACATTTATGTAGCTTACACAGTTAAAATAATCTGCATTTATCTACCAGGCACCGTTTCCCCCCACTTTAAAAGCAAGGTCATATTAGTAAAGAGGGTATTGTGCATTTTTGCACCTGTCTAATGAACAGGCCTGTCTTTTAAAATTAGGATAGCAAAATTAGATCAAGATAAATGAAAGCTGAAAGTTCATCATAATCTGTAACTAAATCTCTAACAGGCAAAACTTCCCACTAAATTCGTAGAGATAAAGTCTGGATTTATATTGGCAAATATTTGAAGTACTACAGAGTCTGGGTGAGCCTTGGCAGCCACAAAGGTTGCAAACAATTTTAAAGGAAAAGCAAAAGGCAATAAAACTTAAAAATATACTTTCAATCTCTCTCTTTTTCCTTTATTCCTCTCTGCCTACAAATTTAGTTTTCAGCATCCTAGACCCACTGTGCCTTCATGCTACTTGACCCTTGAGATACCGCCATCCCATTCCTACCTCCTCACAGTTTTCTCCTGCATTTGGTTGTTGGCCACACGTTACATGTCAGTTTTGACTGGGAGATTGCTGCTAGCCTCTTAATTGCCAGGTCCTTAGTTTCTGCTTATTCCTCATCAGCAACTCCTCACTCTGTGTTCTCTCACCATAATTTACTATGGTATCTTCAGACAGGACCTCCATGCTGATGATTCCCAAATTTCTACTTCCAGTCTTAAACTCTTTTGAGGGAGGATCATCACAACAGAGCTGAATCTATAACTGCCTGAGGTCATCTTCACTTTTTTAACTGACACTTCAAAATCAATTTGTCAAATAACAGTTTTACCTACTACTGCCAAATTTTATACATTATATATTTCAGTTAATGGTTCTAGTGACCTCAGAACTGTTAACCAAGTTCACATTATAGTTTTAAAGGGAGCTGTGTTCATTAGAATTGCATTCCCTGAACACTAATAAAACATAGGAAGACAGGAGTTATCTCATTGCTGAACCTATTATACAAACCAAATTCACAGTACAAAAAGAAGTTTTCTGTACTTCTATTATTATTATTATTATTATTATTATTATTATTTTGCTATAATTCCCAGCTCACATTCTAATCTGATTGTCCCTTTCAAGTGAATCCTTTAAAAAAAAAAAAAAGAGTACAGTCCTGGCTGGCATTCTCAGTGTTAGAGCATCAGCCTGAGAACCCAAAGGTGGCAGGTTTGAATCCAGTCAAGGGCATGTCATGTACTTGGGTTGTGGGTTCCCTGCCCCAATTGGGGCACATGCTGGAGGCAACCAATTAATGTATCTCTGTCTCTCTCCTCTCTCCCCCTAACCCTTTCTTTCCACTCTCTTTAAAATAAATGGGAGGAAATTATCCTCCAGTGAGGCTTAAACAAAACAAAGAGTACAATAGATTCTACAAAAATAATTGTTCTATATTACCTATTCCTAAATGAAAAAGAAAATTTTTAAAAAAAACTCACCTTTTGCCATTGTAATTAATAAGTAATCTGTGGGATGTACTTGGTAACTGTATGAATATCTTGGCCAAGAATTTTCTTTTCTTTTTTTTTTAATATATTTTATTGATTTTTTTTTTTTTTTTGCCCCTTCCCTCTCATACATACCCTCCCTCTCCGGAGTTTTATGTCCATTGATTGTACTTATATGCATATATACAAGTCCTTCAGTTGATCTATTATCTCCCCCAAATCTCCCTTCCCTCCCCGCTGTAATTTGACAGTCTGCTTGTTGCTTTACTGTCTCTATATCTATCTTTTGGTTCATCAGTTTATAATGTTCTTTATTATCCATAAATGAGTGAGGTCATGTGGTGTTTCTCTTTCATTGATTGGCTTATTTCACTCAGCATGATGTTCTTCAATTCCATCCAGGTTGCTGCAAATGATGAGAAATCCTTTTTTTATGGCAGCAAAGTATTCCATTGTGTAGATGTACCATAGTTTTTTCAGCCAATCATCTGCTGACGGGCACCTAGGCTGTTTCCAAATTCTGGCTATTGTAGATTGTGCTGCTATAAACATAGGGGTGCATATATCCTTTCTGATTGGTGTTTCTAGTTTCTTGGGATATATTCCTAGGAGTGAGATTACTAGGTCAAATAGGAGTTCCATTTTCAGTTTTTTGAGGAAACTCCACACTGTTCTCCACAGTGGTTGCACCAGTCTGCATTCCCACCAGCAGTGCAAGAGGGTTCCTTTTTCTCCGCAACCTCGCCAACACTTGTTGTTTGTTGATTTGTTGATGTTGGCCATTCTGACAGGTGTGAGATGGTACCGCATTGTTGTTTTGATTTGCATCTCTCGGATAATTAGTGACTTTGAGCATGTTTTCATGTGTCTTTTGTTGGCCAAGAATTTTCATTCCATGATTGTTAGCATTCATTTATTATCCTTACCTAGATCAATTTTACATTAGTAATCTTAAAATAGTGTTTTTAAAACAATTACATCATTTATTTTACACTTTATATTTAGCAGCTGGTATTCTCTCTCCCATTTTTGTTTCTTACATAATGTTATAGATTTGTAAAATCTATAACAAAGAAGTTTTTGGATTCTGTTGTTATGTATCATCATCATTCTGATACTCAAATTGTCCTAAAATTGGCCAATGGGAGCCTCTTCAAGTCAACCTGTATCCTTTATTATGTTCTATTTGTCTTTTATCACTATTTTGTTTTCTTCCACAAGAAAATGTTTCAAGTTTCCTTGCCTCAGAACTAGAATTAGCTCTGCCTCTTTCCTCCCTCCCCCCCTTCTTTTTAAAAATTGTTGACACCGCTACAGATGTCCCCATTTTCCCCTCCTCTGCTCATCTCCACCCAGCCCCACCCCACCTCCTTTCCTCTGGTGGTGACCACACTGTTGTCTGTGTCTATGCTTATAGTGCTTTGGCTATTCCTTTCACCTTCTTTCATCCAGTCCCTCTCCCCATCCACCCTAAAAGCTGTCAATCTGTTCCATGTATCCTTGCCTCTGTTTTTATTTTGTTCATCAGTTTATTTTGTCCATTAGATTCCACATATAAGTGAGATCATATGATATTTGTCTTCCTCTAACTGTATTATTGCATGTAATAAACAATATTATTAAAAATGTATTGCTGCAAGAGACATCTGATATTTTATTGCCTATGTTTTCTTCTTGGATTTTTATGGTTTCCCAACTTATATGTAAGTCTTTCATCCATTTTAAGTTTATTCTTATGTTTGGTATAAGTTGGTGGTCTACTTTCATTTTTTTTTTTTGCATGTCCAATTTTCCCAACACCATTTATTAAAGAAACTATCTTTAACACATTGTTTGCTCTTGCTTCCTCTGCCAAGTATTAATTGACCATACAGGCATGGGTTGATTTATGGGCTTTCTGTTCTGTTCCATTTATTTTTCTGTTCTTATGCCAGTACCAAGCTACTTTGATTACAATGGCCTTATAGTATAGTTTAATATCAATTATTGTGATCCTTTCAATTTTGTTCCTCTTTCTCAAGATTGCTGAGGCTATTTGGTCTTTCTTGGTTTCATATAAATTTTTGGAATATTTGTAGATCTATGAAATAGACTGTAGGCATTTTATGGAATTGCATTGAAGCTATAGATTACTTAGGGAAGTGTGGAAATTTTAATTATATTAATTCTTCCAATCCATTAATACAGTATATGCTTCCACTTATTTCTATCTTCATCAATTTCTTTCTTCAAAGTCCTATAATTTTTTGGAGTACAAGTTTTTAACCTTTTTGGTGGAATTTATACTTAGTTACCTTATTAATTTTGTTGCAATAGTAAATGGGATTGTTTTAGTTTCTCTTTCTGATAGTTCATTATTGGTATATAGAACTGCCACTGTTTTCTGAATGTTAATTTTGTATCCTGCTGCTTTGAAGAATATATTAGATCTAGTAGTTTTTGGGTGGAATCTTTAGCGTTTTCTATGTATAGTATTATGTCATCTGTGAATAAAGGCATTTTATGCCCTTCTTTCCAATATGTATGCCTTTTATTTCTTCTTGCTGTCTGATTGCTGTGGCTAGGACTTCCAGTATTATGTAGAATAAAAGTGGTGAAAGCAGATATCCCCGTCTTATTCTTGATCTTAAGGATAATGCTTTTAGTTTCTGCCCATTGATTATGATGTTTGCTGTAGGGTTTTCATATATGGCCTTTATTATGTTAAGGTACACTGAGTGGCCAGATTATTATGATCTCTTAATGCATAATAATCTGTCTACTCAGTGTGCGTGTGTGTGTGTGTGTGTGTGTGTGTGTGTGTGTGTATTAGAGGCCTGGTGCATGAATTTGTGCATGGGTGGGGTCCGGCCAGCCTGGCCAGGGGGAGGGGACATGGGTGGTTGGCTGGCCTGCCTGCTGGTCAAACTCCTGGTCAAGGGGGACAATTTACATAATAGCTTTTTATTATATAGGATATACACTGAGTGGCCAGATTATTATGTGTTCAGAGGTCATAATAATCTGACCACTCAGTGTATATTCCCTCTATTTCCACTTTGCTGAGAGATTTTATCATAA